AAGCAAGTTTACAACACTTTGGAGTTTTATATAAGCAAGTGGAAAATAATGTTGTGCTTTATATGCAAAAGTAACACTGTGGGGATTTATACAAGCAAGTATACATACTATGAAGCTTTATCAGAAGTGCACAGCACTTTGGAATTATAGAAGCAAGCCTTAAGCGCTTAAAAACTATGTAGAAGAAAGTTTTCAACACTAGGGTGTGTCATAAGCACTTGTTAAACATTTCGTTGCTTTATAAGCGAGTGCTGAACACTAAGGCGCTCTAAAATCGAGTGTTTAGCAAAAAATGTGCTTTATAAGCAAGTGCTGAATACTTAGTTGCTTGATAAGCTAGTGTTAGACACTATGGTGCTTTACAAGCTACTGTGAGCTACTATGGTGCTTATACGCTAGTGTTCGACACTAATAGGCAATATAAGATAATGTTCCACAGTAATGTTATAGTGTTAACACTACGGTGCTTTGTGAGCAAGTGTTACACACTTATATGCTCAACCGCTTATAAGCAAATGTTTAGAACACTGGAATGCTTCAAAGCAAGTGCTAGGCACTTAATGCTGTATAAGCTAGTGTTCGCAAACACTAACGGGTATTATTACCAAGTGCTTGGCACTTAACGCTTATAAAGCAAGTGTCGCAAGACTTGATGCTTTAGCGTGAGTTCAATGCACTGTATGCTGAAAGAGCAAATGCCGTAATACTATGATGCTTAGAAAGCGTGTGTGGAAAGCACAGGTGCTCAAGGAGCAAATGTTGGAGCACTAAAGCTTTGTTCGCAAGGGCGAGACACTTATTCCGAGGCAAGCAAATGGGAAGAAAATAAAATCGATGACTCCCATTAAGTTCGAAAATCGTGGGTATGTCGGGTCCTACGGATTGGTCGCGGAGGGTGTAACGGGGTTACACGAAGGTGTGTATTTTACATACACACCTGCCACACGAATATGGTGTGGCTGTACCTTGGGTACAAGAGTAGGTTCGATGTGACCTTACCTAAGGTACGAAGGGTCGCATCGTGGCAGAGAGCCACGTGGTCACTATACTTCGTTAAGTATAGTGACTATACATGTTTGCATAGTAACAATAGGCTACAGAGCTAGTAAATAGTGACTAGCACTAAGTATAGAGTAGGTGCTTCTATATTTAGTGCTAGAAGATAAACATAAATAAATCAGTTTCAAACCTGCTCTTAAAAGCTTAAGTGCTTGAGCGTTTTGTTCCTTTTAAAAGAAATTGTATCTTTGATATACTGGTCTCTTGTGTATGGTCCTCTCGGTTGTTACAATCGAGAGGCACAAGCTTACAAGCTAGCCTAGGAAGGGCTAAGCACCCTAAGACGTATAAGCACTCTGAGCTTGTCTTCCTCTGCACATAGTGCATAAGTAGCTTGGCTACAGTAGCTCGGCTACACAAACAGAGGTATTGACAATTCTTGTAGCTGAATTGTGGGTTCGCTGGGTAACGAGCATTAAAAGCTGTCACGTATCTCATTTATTCGGTAAAATTCATTTATTCGGTAATTCGGTAAAATTCATTTATTCGGTAAAATTCATTTATTCGGTAATTCGGTAAAAATTCATTTATTCGGTAAAATACGTGACAGCTTTTAATGCTCGTTACCCAGCGAACCCACAATTCAGCTACAAGAATTGTCAATACCTCTGTTTGTGTAGCCGAGCTACTGTAGCCAAGCTACTTATGCACTATGTGCAGAGGAAGACAAGCTCAGAGTGCTTATACGCCTTAGGGTGCTTAGCCCTTCCTAGGCTAGCTTGTAAGCTTGTGCCTCTCGATTGTAACAACCGAGAGGACCATACACAAGAGACCAGTATATCAAAGATACAATTCCTTTAAAAGGAACAAAACGCTCAAGCACTTAAGCTTTTTAAGAGCAGGTTTGAAACTGATTTATTTATGTTTATCTTCTAGCACTAAATATAGAAGCACCTACTCTATACTTAGTGCTAGTCACTATTTACTAGCTCTGTAGCCTATTGTTACTATGCAAACATGTATAGTCACTATACTTAACGAAGTATAGTGACCACGTGGCTCTCTGCCTCGATGCGACCCTTCGTACCTTAGGTAAGGTCACGTCGAACCTACTCTTGTACCCAAGGTACAGCCAGACCATATTCGTGTGGCAGGTGTGTGTGTTACATACACACCTGCACACGATATCTGGCTTTTGGATGTCATTGAAGACCGGATGGCAAAGCTGCTCAAAAAATGAGAGTAGTCCACAGGTAGGGTACAGGGACGCTTGGCCGAGGGTACAGCAAATTTTACCGCGGATATTCCCAACGAGCCCTCATAACGAAATCCCTCGGACCTTCCACGCCCTGACTTGTCTGGTCTCCGGGTCAAAAAAACGTAAAAGTGAATTTGGTACAGACTTGCCTAGCCAACTTCACTGGACGAAATATGTCTGGCTGGTGCGAACCCTGCAGAACAAACCGGTACTGGATCGCAACGATGGCAGCACTCTATGAGGAGTTCGCTTTGCGGGGCCAAAGTTTGCACTGAGCAAACACGATAGCAACGTCCAACATTTCAGAAGAATATAGGAGCTAGTTACGAGGGAGAAGGCGATCGAGCTTTGTCGACGCCGCAAAATTAACTGCAAATCACGCACTTTATGGGTCGCGCGTTGCACCACTGCTTGCACCAGCGAGTAGGCCTTCTTGCTTCACTTACGTAAGCCCCAAACTCGGTGACTTTGTCCAAGTAAGGGGGCGCGTCGTGGGTGGTCCCGGAGTTTATCGTGGTTGGTTGTTAAATGGGGAGTGTAAATCAATATGTCAATAAATTGTATCACCTATGTAGATAACTTCATTATATTAGTCATTCGCAGTAGTCCCTAAATAATACGTTGAAGCGAAAAAAGGACAAAGTTATTAAGTTGCAAGTCCTTCGAAGGTCGCGTAGGACGATATGGGATTATGACATCGTAAATTACGACACCTGACCCGGCTCGCTGCGCGGCTACATTTTAGCTGAGCTCACAAATCGACCATCCCACATCCATTTCTACTCGTAATTCTTCAGTGCGTTGCGCTCACACCGATGCAGAAAGATGAGGTCTCTTGGTACACGTAAGAAACGAAACGTGTGCTCAGGTCATTAGTTTTTTTCCAAACGTGTTTATCCTCGGGTGTCATCTCTTGGAGCGTGATGGCGAAGGACATGTCTCTTGACCATGCTGAAGATATGCAATAGAAGCTCTTGCTATGAAAGCGCGGATTTGTTCAGTGATGTTACAGAGGCTTTGTCAGCCATGTGGACCACGCCTTCCCTTTCAGGGCTCATAGCGATCGGGTAACGCAAGCGTGCGACGTTTTTATAGCAGGCTCTATAATCATTTGCGCAGCACATACGCAATTATATGCATGTATATGATTACTGAGCCTTGTCAGTGCACTCATGAGACCGGCGATTGTCGCTATCAGCTAATTCACTAGTTTTGCACGTCACTAGCGGCAATGAACGCTTTGTCTCGTGTGCCAGCCAGCTGAGAAGCACGGGCGATCAACTTGTAGGGCTATTGTCTATTCCATGGGTGTAAACAGTCGTTGACTGGACGGTACATAGCCGTGGCTCTCAGGTGCGCGCCAAGTTGTTGGGACATAAACTTAGAAAGGATGCAAACAAAACCAGTTCAGCTATCCGATTACGCGCTTTTTTATGCTGATCATCTAGCGCAATCGAGTATTTTGAACACAAATGAAATTATGGCCAAGCTTCTATCATCAATACCATTGACTTTACCCGCACAATTTGCCTACGCGAAAGTGGCACGATATGTGCATAGTTACTGGAAGAGTGTGTTTATCATCGTTTATGTTTATAACAAAGGTAAGTGCTAGCTGTAATCTTGTCAGGACTGTGGTGCCGTCCGTATCCATCAGTGCGTTTACATCTCGATTACGTGGCGAGCGTAGGAGTAGTGATGTGCAATACCTTCTTCTCATCTGCTTAGACAAACTGCATCTTATATTTTAAAGCCTATTGCTTCATGAGACGAAATATGCGGCATGTTTTAAGGCAGGAACATCCTTCTCTGGATATTTCAGCACGGCTTTATCATTTTTTCCACATGCAACGGCATCTGGTGTGCAAAGTACATGTCAACTTTGTCAAAAGCTTCATCTCAAACGGACGTTGTTGTACACTGCTCAAGAGCACTCACAGAGTGCAGGCACCAGGCCAGAGTACGTGCCTATCAACAGGTGGTCAATCGAGGGCTCATCCTACTCTTGCTCTCAAGTACGGCCGGTCCTTTCCGTATGTGTACGAGGATCGTGTGCGCGACTGTCTGCTACTGGTGTTGTAGACTCTGCGTTGTATATAGTAGCACGTATTGCTGCCACTGGCTCATGAAGCCGAGCACGAGCGGATATTGAGCAAGAATAAGCCGGCCCTTGGAAATCCTATTCACCTCAACGACTTACAGCTTTTGTGAGTCAACGCAACCCGCATACAGTTTGCTTCCGTAAAGACAGCCACTTTGCAAGAATTGCTAACAGACCAGCACCGGGTCACTTTGCAATGAGAACAAGCAGTTACTTTTAGACGTACCTACTACACGAATGCCGTCGTAGCGGAAGTGGACATGTGGACAATACTAGCACAATCAGCAGCATGAGCAAATTGTCGGTGAAAGCGATTGTGCATCTTCTCCTTGATCCGATCGCTGTCCATCAACGCCAGAAGCGGAAAGGAAGCACAAGACAAAAACGAGGGGATAATCCTAGTGTGTATACTGTATCGCCTGATACTCCCACTGCCGAATTGAGCCAGCCAGCAGCCACCTCTCGTATTCTTCCCCCTCTTGGTCACAACTTGAGCCCTCAGTTTCAAATTCATTCATTACTGCTTACAACTTTTACTCAAAATAAACTGCTGTACATTTCGTGACCAACAACGTCTACCCGGCGATTGTGATTCGTGCGGTTCAAATACCATTCTTTGCGTCAGGCTTCAAGATTTCAACAATGCAGCCAAATCGTGGGCGTCACTTGTCCAACTACAACAATGAAGACAGCAATCAGTACAGCCAGCAGCAGCAGCTCAGTGGCAACGCCGGAGGTAATCATCCCTCAGGCCCGGGTATATGTCCCACACTTGATGCTCCGGTCCACTACTATCCGTCGCAACCATCACAACAATACACACCGCGGCAGTCATACTATCAACCAAACCGCGCATCCATCGCTACCTCCCAGTTCTCACTTGCTAAGGCTCCGGTGGAGCACAAACCCATTGCAGTGTACCAAGAGCAGCACTTGGACTATGGAACCCACGCCACATCGGGTACTTACTCAGAGCCGCCGATGGCCATGGAACGCATGTGTGATGTCTGTCAGTACCCTGACCCTGTCCTCGTAGCTCCTAACTGTAACCACACCTTTCACTCTCGTTGCGTTCACGTGTGGCCGATGGACTCCTGTCCGGCTTGCGCGGAGCCGCTTGACGAGGTAGCAATCTCTCCAACTGTCAACATGATGGCGCGTCCCGAGCCACGCAGCGGAAAGTGGACTCGCCCGGAAGAGAAGTTTATCGATGGAGTCCTTCGCGAGTTTGATCGCCAGGCACTTCCGTTGGCACATGGTACACCAATCCGCTTTGTTCTTGCCAAGATGCTCAACTGCTCCACAATGCGATTGTCCAAGAAGTTTCAAAAAAACGCATTGGGTAAACGTACATTTAGGGTAACAAAGCCTGGTAAAGGTGAGAAGGCACTACAATTTGACCCTGTGGACCATGCGCGACGACAACGCGAGCTATCGCAATTGGAGCAGATTTTTCGTCAAGAGCTCGTGGATCAGTTCCGGCGCGAAAATAATACGGACGAGGGTGCTTTAATTGAAACGCAGAACCTGTGTGTAGCTGTTCAGCAATTTTGGGTAAGCAATATGCTGAAATTTGCGGTGCTCGTAGGGCAGCCTGTGGTAGGGATGGATGTCTCAGATGCAAAGAAGCGCAAGCGTGCCATGCAGCTCCTTCGTAACGGACAGTTTGACGAACTGCTATCCTGGCATCATCATCCGTCTCCAGTTAGTAGACTTAGTATTACGCCAATGCCGCCCGTTCTTACGGCTACGTCGAGCAATCGCCAAGCTGTGTCAGCGTCATGGGGCACTAGTGCGGCTATGCATTCATCCTCGGTGGTGGACCAAACGCAACAAGAAAGTGGATCATCTATTCCAGTACTTCTACATAAAACGGAGCGACCTGCGAAGAAGATGCGCACGCCTGAAGCGAATGTCAGAGTTGGTCATTTTGGATTGTCAACGGATCAGTGTGCGGTGTATCCACATTACGGGCGTACCTGTTCTCCTGAGCCATCTGTCTCTTCATTTGATTTCAGCCAGCAACAGCAATATCACTCGGAGCCGTATGTGCGTCCATCTAGTTATTCACCATTCCCTGAAGGAAAGACACCAATTGGATACGCCAATGTGTTGCAATACCAACAGCAACAGCAGCAGATGCTGCCAGGACTTGCTATACATGATCAGCAGCGAAGTGGCCTCGCGTTAACAGCATATCAACGAGCTGGAGAGGTTTATCATGCGAGTGGCACAGGTCAGACGGCTCCGTGGGAGGATCTTCTTGAGAATATGTCGTTCGCAGCTAATTCGGCGAAAGCAAGTGCTGTTGGTCAAGGTCATTCGTTCGAAAGTGTTGATCGATCGATGCAATCTTGGTCTGGTATGCATATGATGTGACGATACGTGACTTCTATTTACATATCCATTCAGCTGACACAATTGCTACTGTTGATAGAGTTTCGGTGCCCAGTTGTTGTGCGAGCATTGCTGAGGGTACAAAATGCAAATAATTAAAGCAACTCAAAATACAAAGTGATATATTTTCAAGTCGTAACTCCGTATATACCAATCCGTCTCCCTGTTCCGTTCGTCATCAGGATCTTCAAGTTGTTTACATGTATAGAAAGACTCATTTAGTAATCTGATTTAGTTTTATTTTGGTAGTGAATCAAATTTAGATCCCATCTATTTTCTTAAAAGCTGACGTATAATCAAATTGTGGCAAGGAGCTCCAAGGAATGATTCAGTATCGAGATGCAGCACTATTGCGTAGGCGTTCATTGCGTTCCATGTCGCTGCTAGGATCAATATTCGGTATTGGTGAATTTGAGGGCGCACGTAATACGTCGCTGAGCCGAAGTACGAGTAAACAACAAGCCTATAATGTGACGCTACTGGATGTAAGTGATGTACATGATGTCTGCAACTAGTTGTTGCCAACATTTTTCTAATCGAATGACAGTATGTGAGCATGAACTCGCACCCAAAGTTTATGCTGCAAAAGGTGTTGGAAGATGATGCGTCTTTTCTCATGGGTCACGTGCTAGTTGGTGCTAGTCAGTGCCTCGCTCCTCTCATTCATCAAGATGCATTGGACGCTACAGTTCGACTTCAAGTGGCGACTACAATCGCTCAGACAGGTGGGAAAAACAAATCTATGGACTGTAAATTATTCAACAATGCTGCTGCAAGAGCATGAATGTAAAATATTGTGAATTGCAGAGAAAGCGACAAGTGCCGAGAAGATGCACGTACTGGCATTAGATGCGATGGTGCACGGTCGTCATTACGAGGCTGCTGCATTGTATGAGACCATCTTGATGCACGATTATACGGATCTGCTGGCGTTGCGCTGCTGCTACGATATTTATCGATTTCTTGGGTGAGACTGATGAAGGTAGTGGTGGTTGGTGCGGATGGGTAACAAGTGGCTTTGCGTGTATTTCAGTAACTACAAAAACATGTTGGCGGTAGTGACACGAAGGCTGCCGTCGTGGTCTCCGAAAGACGTTGGATATAGTCACTTGTTGGGTATGCAAGCGTACGGGATGCAAGCTGCTGGGCGGCTGGATGCTGCAGAGGCACTAGCGGAGAAGGCGTTGTCAATGAATGGAAATGATCGCTGGGCATGTAAGTAAGGGTGGGTGACAGATGTACGATTTGAGCGTAGCTAATGATGCTCGTGGTACGTGGCTGATGCTTGTAGTACACACCATACTGCACGTATTAGAAGCGCGAGGCAATGCCAACCACGGAGCCAGCTACGCCAATCAATTCAAGGCAAGTTTTGACAATGGTGGGCCACTGGAGCGTCATCTGTACTTCCAATGGGCATTGTACATGCTGGATCTAGGCCACTACGACCGCATCAATAAGATGCTGGAAGTCAACATCTTTCCGTACCACCCTGACGGCACAACCCATGCAATCCCCAATCTATGTGACGCCACTCAGCTCTACTGGAGACTACGCTTTGCAGGTCAAGACACTTCAGAGCTAGGTGAGCAGCTTCTTCAGAACTGGTCTTCCATATCTCCATCTTGGAGCTCGGATGGAGTAGAGGTGTCAAAAGCTCGTCTGCACCCTCTCGCAAACGTACTCCGCTACGTACGTATTATCACAGCACCATTATATCAATCTACATCAAGTTCTTACCAGCACTTTCCTTTTCGTTGAACAGAGCATTTTGTCATGCGTGCCATCGAGTACTCCGCCACCAGAACCGCTGACGCTGGAACCTGCTATTGACACCAATCGTTTAGAGGCTCAGCTGGGCTTTACCCCTATCCAGTTTAGTTTTCCTCCCAATCCAGGTAAATCGTGTATTCTAAACGTTGTTTCGCTTGGTTACGCTAGAACTCATTTTTGTGTCAACTTTTTGGTGATGTTAGGTGAAGTCGAGGAGGTGCATACCAACGTTTGCAAAGCTTTCCAAGCGTACGCAGAGGTTTGTGATGGATATTCGAACTTACTCATATGTTCTTATCTATCTATTGAAAGGAGAACAAGCAACCATAATGTCAATATGTTACTGCTCTAGGCTCGATTCAACGATGCTACCATAGCGTTGCTGCCTGTGCGCGAAAAGCTTGGACTCCTTGGTGGAACCGAAGTAGACCAAGATGTGGTGGAGCAATTACTCATTGAGTGGTATGACCGACCTCTGAATGCTCTCGCTTGTGTTGGATAAAGCTAATTATGCAATGTATGTTCTGTAGCGCTAGCAAGTGCGACGATCTGCGACTTGTAAAGCTACTTCTTAACGAACGGTGCAAAAATGCTTAAAAACATTTCGACAAGCTGCGCAGCTATATCTCCTCCTAACTTTCTACGCTGATTTCAATGTTAGGCTGAGCGCTAGGCCACAGTGTGCACAATGCTGGAATACGTTCTCGTGTGTGTCCGCAGCCATGGGAGACTCATCAGCCGTGCGCGATGCACAGGGCATGAGCTATGTGCTTGGACTGGGGCAAGGTGGCAACCGGACATACTAGCCACCAGTGCGGCCCATCGTGTTGTTTTTTTAAGTTTTGACGACAATAGAATACCGATTTCTTTGCATGTTCGTTCTTTTTGTACTGAACGTATAGACTGCATCACTACAACTGCAACATGTAACACCATTGTGAATGTAGCCATGTGTTGACTTGATGTACCCAAATAATGGTACAGTCATCATTTTCAGCCAAAAAAAAAAACGCGGGAGCATCATCATGATGTCCAAGCAAATTCTGCGCGCATGCAAGTTACAGGGTCTATCTCTCCACGCTGAGGCCTTGCAAAGTCTCACCAAAGAGCTTGTAAAGTACGTATTTGGATCTTGTGCGTCTGACCGTATCATTATTATGTAAAAACGCCTTGTGATGACTTCACCTCAGCCACATTTGCTTATTGTACTTGCATATCTCCGCAGTGAGCCATCACTTCAACTGGAAGATGTTTTATACGCTATTAAGAACAATATCGATCGTAGCAAAAGTAAGTCTTTAATCTGTGAGACGATCAGAATAATTACGTTGAGATGTCAAGTGTTTGATGATGTTATATGGTGCTCAGTGAAAACGTCTGTGGTGACGATGGAGGCGCTGGAGAGTGCCTTGGACACTCTATTGGCCGTATCTGCAGAGAACGACTTTGAAAAGATTCAAGTATTTGGTGCCTTTAACATGCCAACTCTACATTTCAACCCGTACAATAAGTCATACGAATTGAAAGCAAACGTCCATCGTCGCCTCCACGCTGGACCCGAGTCAAGGATTCAGCTGCTGCGAAACAGATTCATGTCGGTGGATCTCCGTGTCAAGCGAAACCGTTTGTTTGCACCCCCATCGGCTGCGGTGGCCAGCACCGCCGAGTACATAGAGGTGGTATTTGGTTGAGATGTTTTGAGTGTATTTTTCGTGGAGGTTTTGATCGATTAATTGTGATATGCAGTTGTCGCGGATTGAGTCTCTACTAGGTGTGACTGGAGTGCGACGTGTGATTGGTTTGCTAGGGCAGGACGAGCGCAAGAGATTGTACCTAGAGGATTTTACATCGCGAATCATCGTTGATTTTACAAACGCACTATACACAGACGGTCTTTTTACGGTAAACTGTGTGGTGCTGGTGGAAGGTGAAGTGATCGATGATGTACTTCATGTCCAGGTAACGAAGTGGATGGCAAATATTACTTTCAATTGGCAAAACTGCTAACCTTGGAACTATTGTGTCTGCTCAGTCAATGGGGTTCCCACCTCCAGAGACAAAGGAGGCTTCGTTGGATGTTCTCGGTGGTATTGATCCACTAGGTGTGGAGGTGTCTGCACAGCAACGCGAACAGATTCAGTCAGCTGAAACTAATGATCATCACGCCGCATTCATTGTGCTTTCTGACGTTCATCTGGACGACCCAAACGTCATGAGCAAATTGGACGAGCTTTTTCAAGGCCTCGAAAGTGTGCAGCCAACTCTTTTCATCCTTATGGGCAATTTTATGTCAGCGTCTATTGGTGGAGGTACGGGGTCCAACTCGCTGCAGGACTTACGGGAGTACATGGAGGAGCTTGGAAATCTTATTTTAAAGTACCCAGGCATCGCCGATAATTCCCGTTTTGTGTTGGTGCCTGGACCTAATGATCCAGGTTCGTCGCGCGCCTTCCCACGCCACACTGTAATACTTGCAAAAGTTATTTGAAAACAATCAACCATGCTGAAATGCTAACACTTTTTTTCACAGCTTCCTGACCTTTGCACCCACGAACTTATCCGTAAGGTACCACATGTCACGTGTAGCACCAACCCGTGCAGGATTCGCTACTATACACGGGACATTGTGATCTTCCGTGATAACCTCCAACAAAAAATGCAACAACATGCTGTTCTTCCGCCAATGCCAAGTGAGCAAGAAAAGGAAGGAGCTGCTGTTGACGAAGACAGTGAGGCTACTCTATCAGTCTCACAGACGGATATCTCTAAGCACGTATGGTTCATACTGACTTAGTTCTACTTGCTGTTATTAGTGTTAGTTGTTGCTGACTTGTGAGCTATGTCAATACGTTCTTTTCCTTCAGTTAGCAAAAACACTCATTGACCAAGCGCACTTGTGTCCACTGCCGTTGATAGTAAACCCGATAAATTGGGACTTCGACTCATCGCTGCAGCTTTTTCCTGTCCCGGACGTATTAATTCTCGGTGATTCAACCGAGCAGTATCAATTGGGCTATTCATCTGTAGGTGTTTTCCACCCAGGTCCATTTCATGTCGACTTTTCGTTCGTCTTCTATCGTCCGAGCACTAATACTACCGAATTCAGTCGTGTCGAATAAAGTTCTCTATCAAACGTTATGGACTGTAAATGCTGCTAATAACGTGAAACGGTTAAAGAGACTTTAATTAATACGGTTACTTTAAATAAGGTGTGGCATTTACATTTCGACGTATCTATTTTTACTTTTAAAGGTTAAAATTGATTGTGTTTTGGTATGTCTTTGCTTCAAAAATCTCTGTGCGACATTTCTTCGAATAGATAATTGATAATATATTACTTCGCTCCAGGGTCACAATAAAACCTCATTGTCCGAATGAGGCATCGATACCATCGTCAGTTCGGACTACCGAATGCGAATCAGATTCTGCTTTGTATTGCTGTATGTGGACTCTTGTTCTTCTCGCTCCTCCGTCGCAATTGGCTTCATTTTAACGAGGACCCAATGATCTATGCATCTCTTCAACGTATTTACATTACGCGTGACGGATCTACTGACTCGAAGTCGTGGGATGTATTTTGCGCTGACGATTCTTTCCAGATGAGAGTGTAAAGTATTTTAGATTACTTACAATTTCATAGTGTTTTTATTGTTATATTGACAATACTAACAGACTCAATTATTGTGAATATCTTGTTGTTGTTATTTTTTTCATACAGTCCAAAGACAAACCACACTACAACAGTTGTTAATATGCAGGATGGCGTTATATTATGTTACAAACGCACAAATGGGAATCTCGTGCCTGAATTAATGGTGTGGTTGCTCGCCGTGGGACTTAGTTGTGCTCTATTAAGTACGTTATTGGCGGTCTATTTGCAACTTGGTAACCCAACAAGAGGGATGGTGTTCTGGATTGGAACGATGCCGGGTATTTTACTTTTTGGTTCTGGTACGACAGACAGACAGACAGTTCAGTTTTTATGATGGGATTTGAAGATCTTTTGGTGTATAGAGAAGTTGACTTTCGATTGTTATTGTTGCTGTGTTTTATTGTAATGATGTAGCGGTACTTGGGACAGCATCATTGTTCTTGTGGCAGAGATATTATCTACGGTTTAATAATGGTGATTGTTTCAGTATCACGGTGGCTGCTACAGTGATTGCTTATGCAGCAGCAATTTCCATGGTCATTCGATGGCGTTGGGTACGTGAACCGTTTGCAATCTAATTGATATAAAGTTGTAGAGAATCGTAGCTCTTCGTTTTTTTGTTACTAATATTTCTTTACTGTAGCCCGGCATCTGCGCTGTGCCCAACGAGCAGCAAGTTATCGGTTCGCGCTTGTACGGAGATCATTTGCCGCCTCGTCGTGGTCGAAGACAAGGGTCTGCAGGAGTCACCGCGACGGTGAACAACAGTACGGCACCGCTTCGTGATCTTGAGACTGTTGCTACTCCACGTAACCGCTGACTTTGTCAGTGTGCTGCTCTTACCAGTGCGGCAGATTTTGCGGTCTTGAGGAGAAGGTGAGCTTATTTATTGTTCAAAATGGACGTACGACTTGCGTTTGTGGCCACTAGCTACATTCGATATCATCATTGGTGTCCACTTTCACAGTTGTGATGTTTGTCTTATTCACTTTCATCGCCGCTGTCAGCCTTGAGTTTGCTTAACACACGACGCGTGTACTCGCCAATGATCTTGGCGTCGGCACCACTACTACGCAGATACTCAGCCAGTGTCTCTGGCCGGGAATGCACCTCGAGCAGGTACAGCAATGTCCGCTCGGCAGGCAGCTTCACAGCCATGTTGTTGCTCTTAATAAGCTGGAAGACAGCAGGAACAAGCACTAATGAGTGATCGCGTATTTGCTCCGGCGAGCGCTTCGCAGCCAGTTTCGCCACGTGCAGCGCGCTACGAACCACATCCTTGTTTTTGTCCGCCACACTCTCCACCAGCACGCGCACTAGAGTGGCAACGTTGGCCACGTGCTCCTGGCGCTTTACCACGACAGCAATAGCCTTCAGCGCATGGTTGCGCACAGCAGACTGTTCATCCTGAGCCAGCGTTAAAAGCGTGGTAGTCAGCGAAGCGGACACTTTCGAAGTCAGCAGTGCCGCATGTTTGTACAACACGAATGCTGTGAACACGGCCGCACTCTGGCGCCGCTGCCATGGCAGCGTTTGCAAGTCAGCTGACACATTTGCCAGACTGTAGCCCAATAGCTGCTGTTGCGCCATCTCCACGTCGTTGCTTGCGGTGGAAGCTACATAGGAAGCTAGGCATTTGCTGGCGCCATCGCGCAGTGCATCTTCACTTGACTCAAGCATATCCTCGAGTGCACTTTCCAGAATACTTCGGGCAGCAGCTGACAACTTGTCTCCGACACGCTCGACCATAGAAGCAACAGCCTCCAGATTGGCCTCACGCACACCACCAGTCGTGGTGCGCAAGCGCTCCGTAAGCTCTGCTAAGAGAGGCTCCACACGCGGGTTGAGCGTGACAAGAAGGCTCAATGCCGATGCGCCACGAGCTCGCACGTCCACAGCAGTGTCATTAAGGGCCTTAACGAATGTAGTTTGCAGCTGAGGAAGGAACGGCTTGAGTGCTACGCCACCCTTGGTTAAAATGATCTCTAGAGTTTGCAGAATTGCAGCCTTCACGTGACCTGGAAAACGATCACCAGCGATACGAATAAGCGGACCTGTAAGCTTGATCAGGTATGGGCGAAGAGCAGATGCACTGCTCAGCTCCACAAGCTCACCAAGTCCAGCAGCCGCACTCTGACGCAGCTCCGGCGAACCGTTCATTAGAGCCCATTGGTAGCTTGGCAAGAATGGTTCGAGGCCCTTAGGAATACAGAGACCCGGCAGCAAGTACTCGCCGAAGCCAACACCACCCTTGCGGTGACGGGCGTCACTGACCATTGAATTGATCGATTGGCGAATGAAGTCCAAGTGTTGTGCAAACTGCTCCGGCCTTGTGGTCACGTTCATGCCCTTAAATGCCGCAGAGGCGGCACGAACAACCAGATTGTCTTGGTCATTTAAGTGCAGCACAATTTGTTTGAGAAACAGAGGCGCTTGGTCATCATACGGAACCGACGTGTGCGAGCAGAATTCAGCTACAAGATCGAAAGCCAAAGCACGTTCGACCATGCCTTCATACTCGCAATACTTGCAAAGCTCAATAGCCAGCCAATGCACGCCTGGTGCTTCCACAGAGAGTACCACATTGCGCAACGAGCTTTTGATTTCTTCGGCAAGCTCTGTCTTTAAAGTATCCAAACTGCCGTTTTCGAGCAGCTTGACGTACTGCGCGAAAAACGTCGCAAAGATTCGCTCCAGCTGAAAGTGGATCACCGCACCCGTAGCCTGAGCCGCGTGGGACACAGCACGTGTCGCTGAGATAGTCACCGGCGTCACCATTAAACGCGGAATTAGGTACGGAAGCACTTCGCGTGATTTCACACGCAGAATTTCCTGTAGTCCAAGAAGCGCAAGCTCCTGTTCTTCTGCCGATGGAGAGGAGTGGATACGCTCCAAAATCATTGGAATAGTTTCGTCTATAGCGCGATAACCAATGCCCTTGTGTAGCACATCAAATGCTTGCGCAGCCGAGGCACGAACCTCTGCCAGTTTATCACAAACGCCATCCAATACAGCATCAACAAGCGTGTCCACATAGTCTTCAATCTGCTTCTTTGTGCAACAATCAATGACTTCTGCCAGACCGATACAAGCACCCTGCCGTCGGCCAGTCGGCAATGAAGGTGACAAGCCTGCACGCAGGATGGGCACCACCTCAGGAAGCACATGCTCGCCCAGCTTGCGCACAATTTCTCCAAGCGTACGACCCGCCATTGTTTGCTTTTCCATGTTGTCATCTGACAGCGCTGACACAATAGCGTTCATGAGTGCCTCAAGAATTTGGCGCAACGTCTTGGGTGTGTTGGCGACCACACTTTTCCAAACCTGCAGAGCGCTCTGGCGAACCACAGCTGAAGTGTCCGAGCGAATCATGTATAGTGAAGCCAATATGGCGTTGCGGCGCTGGATACCAAGCAGCTTGATAATGGCACGATCACCCGCGGCGCTGCCAGACGTCTCGTCTTCATCGTCGTTGTCTTCGTTAACAACAGCAACAGCGCGTGTGCCACTGATACGGTACATAAGATCACCCAGCAGCATGACCGAGCTCTGGCGGATACGCCAGCTATCATCAAACAAACCAGCTTCTAGACTTGGCAACAGGTCGCGTGTGTGCGACAGAGCGTGCGCGTTTACCACGACATGACCCGAGTGCATGGCAACATCGCGCACAGACTCAGCTTCGTCGCTGAGACCCGCCACCACGACCGGCAGTGCTTCACGCAGGAAGATCGAAAACTGCTTGCCGAGAGCCGGCGGCAAAAAAGCCATGACCCACAATACACTTTCGCGCACCGAGTACTTAGGATGGCGAGCCAATGGCAAAATGTTATCTCGCATGATGAGCTCCACACGCTCAATACCAAGCGCAACCACGACTTCACACAAACCTTGTGCAGCTCCTGAACGCTCCACAGGACCAACCTCATCGTTCTTCATGGCTTCAAGAAGCCACGTCAGCATATCGGCAAAATGGCGCTCGCCAAGACCCTTGACAAGCTTACCCAGAGCCTTGGCAGCCACAGCGCGCACCTCTGGAATTGGATCCGTAAGCTGAATCTTTAGACTAGGTAGCACCGTCTCCATGTAAGGTACCAAATCCTTGGCGTCGCTGATCATGGAGCACATACTACCTACAATAAGTGCAGCCTTCTTCTTGGCATCACCTGCGCGATCCTTCAAGCCACGAGTGATGATAGGCATCACAAGTGCCAGTGATGGCGCATCAATCGAGTGCTGGAACGATGTTGACTGAAGTTGCTGAAGAGCTTCGGCCGTATGTCGGTTAGGATCTTCAAGAGCGTCAAGCAGCACCTTGGAGATTTTAGCAATTTCAGGATTGCGCACCACAGAGCCCACGTCGCGCAGCGCATTCTTACCAGCCTCCCGAACCTTTGGGTGGGAGTCAGTCAATGCAGCCATTAACTTGGGCACCACCTGAGGCAAACAGGAACCTAGCTGTCGCGGAGCACAGTACGCCATCGAACCCAAGATCTGAATGCCGGATTGCTTCGTACGCCACATGCTTTCTTCAAGAGCACCTAGAAGCGATGGCAACACCAGCTTCACACCATGTGCTGACAAGTTGGCCATAATACCCTTAGCAGTGTGGCTTGCCGCCTCACGTACTTGTGGGCTCGCATCAGCCGAGCACTTGAGCATAATTGGCAGAATGGTAATGATATACGGCTCGAAGAGCAATCCGAGACGCTGGCTCAAGCATTGAAACACAAGCATCGCGCCTTGACGAGCGTTAGCACCACTCGTCTTCATTGCTTCTTCAAGCCGCGGAATGATGCTGTAGATTTTGAGGGCAGAGATTCCAAGTCCTTTCACTACAGCCGATAGACCGAATGCTGCCCCCATGCGCTTGCCGAAAGTTTCACCTTCAGTAACACGCTTTAGCAGATCGTCTAAAATACTTGCACTGCGATCCTTCACTGCACCCATGAGCGGCGATAGACACATTGCAACAGAACGCTGCACCGATTCAGACGGAATGTCGAGATTTTCAAGAAGAGAATCTACAATAGAAGATACCTTCGGGTCCGTCGGAGCCATGTGCTTGGCCAAGGAGCCCAAACATACCACGACACCCTCACGATGGTGATCATAGATGGATAACGTCTGCTTCCTCTGCTCAAGCATATCGTCTTCCTGACAAGCGAGATGAGTCCCAACCTTAGCCTTCTTTCCGGTGCTGCTTTTTACCGTAAAAGTAGCGGAGGAAGCAGTGGTCTCAAGGAAATGTTCAAACATTTCCAACAGTGGCACAGTATTGGCACCTCCGCCCAGCGACGTCACAGCTTGCACACCAGTCTTGCGCATCTGCGCACGCACCTTAGAGTTTGGATCCCCCAAACCATGCTCTATAACAAAAGTCAGGAGGAACATCGTGTTTGCGTTGGACATCGCTTCTGGACCAGCAACCTCCGCGGCTTTCTCCAAGCACAGAGCAACACCAAGCCGAGGACCCATCGTACGAACGTCCTCGTCCAGTTCTGTAGCCACTGCACCAGGGCGGCGAACGGTTGGAATACCAAACTCGTCCTTTTGCTCCACAAGTTTTGGCTGATTACTCAAGTAGTGGGTCTTCAGATTATTCAGCAGGGGCGTCACTGACTTTGGAAACTGACGCATGCCATCAGCAAGAGCGAGAGAGGCCATTTCACGGACACTAGCATATGTGTGATTCAGCAACACAAGGAGCGGGCCTGCAAATAGCGCCGTGACTGTAGCTCCCATCGCATTCCATACCTGCTTAGCAAGAATACGGTTCTTTTCCTCTAAATCAAAGCAGCAGCAATGCAACCGTGCAATCAATAGCGAACTCGGCTTGGCATTACAAAACTCTTCGCCGCCTTCACCGCTTTGAGCGACGTTGAGTAGCGCTGTCAGGATCTCACCACGGACACTCGCCTCATCAGAAAGCAGACCATTATCGCCAAGCAAAGGCGCCCACTCAGACGCGTTTAGTTCGGGCCCCATGCATAGAGAAGTCAACAATTTGCCCGGAGCCAAGTCAGGATTAACAATAGGCAACGCACTTCCCGTTGCCTGCCGGGACAGCAAAAGCAAAGTCAACTGCAACATGTCGTGACGCAGTAGCCGCTGGGTCGTAACATCCCCAACTTCTTCCTCGTCTTCGTCAGGGATCATACGTGCGTGAGCCGCAAAAAGAGGCAGAGCCCACCGGCGTAGATCTGGTGCGAAGTGCAGCAAGTCATGTAACACTGGAAACAGCAAGTGCAGAGTCGGTGGCGGAATCAGATTGCATGTAGAATCTGCGTTAAACTCTGTCTCGCTTTCGAGCTGAAAGCCAAACACATACTCCATTAACTCTGCCAGCAGACGCAAAAACAGCGCCTGCATCTCTGCAATACGAGCTGCCTTAGCCTTGTCTGAGGCAAACCGGCTTATCTCCAGACTAATGCGCAAGGCATTGCCAACATCTTGGTAGTTTGAGCGAAGAGGCTTTGGGTTGATGGCCTTTGCCATGGCCAGTAGCGCATTTGACGCTTCGAGCTCGAACAGTGGGCACGTGAATAGCACGCGCACTGAGCGAAGCAAGTACGGTAGCGTAGAGTGAAGTTCGTCTGGCCGAGTGACTGCAAGCATATTAATTGTTTCTATCACAGCAGACACGATACGACGCGTCTCGAGAACTTTCCGACGCACTTCCTGTTGTTGCTCCAACATGGCCATCTGCTCAGCTGTGTATACCTTCTTCTGACCACTCTGTTCAGCCCGTTTCTTGCGATCCAATTCTTCGCGTAGTTGCTGCTCCCACTGCTCGTCTTCATCGCCATAACGGCCACCACGATTGCTGCGAATCGTAGTTTCCTCATCCTCGTTTGCTTTCTTATGCTCGTAAAGTTTATCAAAAGAAGTCTGACAGACTGCGACATCCTCCTCACTAAAAGCGTCAATGTTTTCACCATCCAGACGCTTAGCCAACAACTCCTCAATAATATCGTGCAACGCAAGATCCTCACCATCACCATTGCCAGCGAAGTCGAGCAGGGAAGCCATCACACGCTGAGCAGCTAACCGCTGCAGTGAGCTTGTCGAGTATAGCTTGCCCGTAGACGCATTGGCCAGCAATTCGACAACTGCTGTTTTCACTTCTTTGTGCATTTCAATGAAGTTGTCCACACGATCAGCATCACTGAGAGGTGCCTCATCATTATCATCGTCCCCACCTTTTGTATTAGAGCGGAGCGCTATGAAACGGCAACGAATGGACTGCCACTCGCGCGCAAACGCCTTTACCTTCGTGCCTGCAACAAGCAATGGGTGGTGTGCAAGGAAAATAGTTCGAGCAAATATGTGCACCTTGGTATCTTCGGCGTCACTAATAGCAGCCGGGACAAGCACGCGCAGCGCACGACGAAGGACGCCTGCAGGTGGAAAGGTAGGCACAGTTTCAGCAGACAGCACGTTGATCTTCTTCTCGAATGCAGCTACAAAACCCGAACAGTGCTCCAAGGATGCTAGGTACACAGTCTCTACGGCACTTTCGGCACTCTGACGCACAGTGAGGCTAGCAGAGCACAGTAGCTCCACCAATAGGGAATAAACCTCGCTAGCATCTGACTGATGGGATGCCAAGACCCACACTAGCGCGCGAGATAACGCAGCCAATGCCGAAATCTCCGGCGCCTCAGGCACCATTTTCTGTCGGGATGTACTTGCTACAGTGTTCAACACCTCTCGAACACTGTTTCCAACGAAGGACGTGGGGCTCAATAGCATTTCAGCAACACCCTCTTGAGCCATGCAAGCATCCATCTCGCTAGTAGCAGATGCGATCGAACCTGCAACAGCAATGGCTAGCAAACCGTCGAGATGTACTACGTTAGGTTTCTTTTTCGAGTCCTTAACAACCCCAATGACTTCGTCAGCAAAAGTCAATGCTGCAGTCGCCCTAGAGAGGCAAAGCACCACTAGAGCACGAAGGTAGCCAGCCACTACAGGTTTGGACTTGTCCTTGAGCCCGCTTTTCAGTCCAGCCACAGTAGCAGCATCAAGTTCGTCAGTACCAGCTAGCGCAAGCCACTTTCCTAACGCTAGTAATCCGAGATACCGCGTCTGTTCGTGTGCCTCCTTGCTCACAGCCTTAAGCAGAGACAAAATCGCTGTCGGAGCAATGTCCTGTATCTCCAACGCATCCAGCTGCACCGTTGCGGCGTCAGCAGCGTCATTTAGCACAGCAAAACCAGCTTCACGTTGGTAAAACTGGGCAAGAATACCGTGTTTGCCTTCCAGCAAGGCGCTCATCAAAGCTACAAACTGCTGCATGTGCTCACTCTGACGGAATGAGTGAGCTAGCAAATCTCCAAGCGCTACTGCAAGCGCACGCACATCATTTTTAGGTGCGCGCATCTTTGCAATCAAGACGGACTGGAACACATCGCTTACGTATCGTCCAAAGTCTAATGGCGCTGCATGAACGAGCGCCCCTACCGCTTTAATCACTGTATCGGGTGCTTTCTTGAGCATTTTTGCCATGGAAGGCAGAATCAACAGTTCAAACTGCTCGTAATTAAGTGTCTTGAACCTGGCATCATTCTTGCGCAAGGGCACGAACGATCGTTTCTTACTCTCAAACGCCCAGAAGGAATATCTCCTCCACATCATTTCCTGCATCTCCTTATCCAGCAAATTACTAGTGCTCAGCACCATCCACAACTGGTATTGCTGCTCCTCAGGTGCGGCAGTGGTCAATACAGTCACGTACATCTGTAGCAGCTTGTCAGTATGTTTCTTGAGCAGTTGAAGCACCGCCTTGCACGCCTGTTGTTGGTAACGTTCCGAGTCATTCACAGTAGCCTCTAATAGACGGCTCTGTGACATCAGTAGCTCTAGGAACCACGCATCCGTTGGTGGTATCTTGACAGACAGTACTGTGTCCAGCACAACACACGAGAGACGCAGCACGATAACACGTGCACTGGCGAATGATGCTACGAATGCCGGACACTTGACAAGCAGAATGCGTGTAAAAACCTCTGGGAAAGTAGGTACTTGAGTGCATAGTTCAGTCAATAGAGCGCGTAAATGTTTTTCCGAGCTGCGGTATTGCAAACGGTAGCATTGAGCCAGGATTTGACTGGCGACACGCTTGAGTGGTAGCTCACCAATCTTACACTTATCAAGCACTTCATGCTGATAAGATTGGATAAAGACTAGCTGCGATGGCCGCAATACAGCTGCGTCTAAGAGCGACGTTAGGACGTCTTCTTGTTCAGTCATGACGCGAGTTGTTTTGTATACAGTGTGAATAATAATAATAATAATAATAATGACAAAGCAGGGAGTACCAGTGCTTTTTGATAGTTTTTGATCTTATCGGGTCAGATAATAGTATACAGTGATAAATGCTCTTAAAAAGGGGATCTAATGATACAATTTGTTTTGTGTACATCTAATGGGGACAACCAGTGTTTTGTACACAAATTAGTGCATCTTCCACAGAGCAACCAAAGGGAGAAGCTCATTTAACAATGGCGGATGATAATGACACGGGTGGCTTTGCAGCCTTCATGGCGACCGTGGATGGTGAGAAATTTCAAGAGACAGAGACTATAGCTCAAGATGAGTATCACTATGAGGAACAGCAAGAGAAAGAAGCGATGATGAAGAATTATCATCACCCAATGAAGCAATGGTTTAGACAGAGACCACAGCTTGAGGTAACGTTCTATTGTGATAGAGTGAAGGTTTATATTGACGTTATCTTTTGACTAATGTAATAATTGACATTGGTAGGCTAAACACGGAGTTTTCCCACTCTTTTGGCAAGAGCTTAAGACGTGGGAACCGTATCGGGAAGTACTAAAGGCTTACATTAAGTTTACGGAGCACGGAGACGACAGCGTGGAGAGTACAGAGGAGAGAGTACACAAGAAGAAACATGACCAAGAAGCTTCTGTAAACGCTTCTGAGGCAGCAGAACAGCCCAAGAAGCGACGTAAAAGTCGATGGGGGGACCCGGTGGAGCTTGAAGCGGACGGAAACGCAGAGAAGAAGAGAAAAAAATCCCGTTGGGCTCCTGCATCTAGCGCTTCTTCGGCGGTAGCTGGACTGCTCAACCAGAAGCAGCAGGAGACTGTAATGCTGCGAGCTCAGCTGGAGAGTATAAATCAGAAGCTCAAGACAGTGGCGTTGGATGCTGCATTGATTGAGAAGGATCCAAATCGATCTCCTTCACCTCCGCCGCAGTATGATTCTAACGGAAAGCGTACAAATACACGCGAAGTGCGTATGAAAGCTGCGTTGGAGAAGCGCCGGCGGGAGACGATTGATCAGCTTGTAAAAGTTAATCCACTGTTTCGTCCACCTGCCGACTATACGCGTCAGAAACTACATCGCAAGATCTACATTCCTATCCATGATTTTCCTTCGTACAACTTCATTGGCCTAATTATTGGACCCCGCGGCAATACGCAGAAACGCATGGAGCGCGAAACAAACTGCAAGATTGCTATTCGTGGCAAGGGCTCTGTAAAGGAAGGCAGTAAGGGCAAGAAGGTAAATGGTGACGAGAACGATGAGCTGCACGTACTTATCACAGGTGATCGCGATGAAGATCTTGACAGAGCAGCTAAGGAAGTGCAGAGTTTGTTGGTGCCGGTGGATGATACAAAAAATTCGCACAAACAGAAGCAACTACGTGAGTTGGCTCTCATTAATGGTACACTTCGAGGCGACGACGACTGCCACATTTGTGGTGAAAAGGGTCATCGACAATGGGAGTGCCCCAACCGAGATGCTCACCGTACGTGTTGTGTATTTTGCTAAGCATTTGTATTCGAGTGTGTTTCTGTTCAAGGATTATTGATTTGTGGACTGCATCGGTAAACGACAGGCACCTTCAAGGCTGCTAACGTTAAGTGTGCAATTTGTGGAGACTCTAGTCACCCGACTCGCGATTGCACTCAGAAGAAGTCTGCTGAGGAAAATGCTGCTATCGACAAAGAATATCAGCAGTTCATGCAGCAGCTGGGTGAAGCACCTATTATTTCGGCAGCTACAAATGTAAAGGTTCCAGAGGTCGCGACAGCCCAGGCTGCCTCAGCACCATGGTTGCAACCAGCAAAGACGTCTTCGAGCGTATCGGTGCAGCCATGGATGATGCAGCAATCTGTTGGTGCACCGGGTACTGCAAGTGCCCCAGGTGTGCAAGCACCCGGGGCCGTTGCTTTGGGCTCTACTCCAGCTACGGCGTTCCCACCCCCGGTTGCGCCGACTGGTGTATATGACTACCAATCGCACCAAGCGCAAGGCCAAGAATGGGGACAGCATGGATGGAATGGTGGGTACAATGCGTATTACGGGTCATGGGATCAAAATGTCCAGAGAGCTGATTATGCGGCATATGGGCAATATGGCTCTCTTATGGGTAGCGCTGATGTCAGTGCTAGTGCTGGTGCTAGCGCCGGTGCTCCTGGTGCTAATGGGGCAGATCAATATCCGCCATATAGCAATTCGCCGCAGTAATAATGAAGAAGCAAGTACCCAGTGTTAGCTGAGCGATTGATGAAGAGGACAAGGAGCACCAGGTACGCCCCCGCCGTTTGGAGACATGATATGCTACAAGCCAATACCAGCAACACTACCCCATGGAATACATAGGATTGACTTTGCTTGCTGATCATTGTGTGCTCTTGCTTGTTCGACTAATATGAGGAATAAGATTGCTCAGCGACAGAATGATTCACGGTTTTAGTCACGTGGATGGTGAAAATGCAATGGAGATTCCTCCGACGCATAGGATGCCTCTAGCAGTTGTTGTTATATCCTGAGCTGCGTCGACGACGTTTGCTTGCTTCAGCTAAGTCAAGTAATATCTACTTCGTTGACGTGCTGGGTACGTAAGTAAGTAAAAATATGATTCTGAATGCTAGCCATCTTGCAGCACTGTCTAAACGGTTGACTTTCTAAGAAGCCTATCCTGTCGATCCAGCTGTTTCACGAGTTCCTATCAACGAAAGCACAAGCGTTAGATGTATAACGAAGGATTAACAGCGGCGAGGAAAGCGTACTTGTTGACGGCTTGTATCGGACACAAAGTAGTCTTCCAAGCGCCTCCGAAGGTTGGACAAGGAAGGTTGCTTCGTGCAGCTGCTTACATTCAGTAGCGCGTGAAAAAGGTATTTCCACATGTTGACCTGCCAGTAGCGCTTAAATGGCCTAACGATCCCCCAGTGCGTTGTGCCCTTAGAGTTGCGCTGTGGCTTGACTTCCATATAGTCTCCAAACAGCATGCAATGCACCGTTCCGCAAAAGGCGAACGTGTCGACCTGGTATGTCCATGGGCGTTGCGTTAGCATTTCGACGCATTGGAAACCTTTGACGTGGCAATTGCCAGTAAAGTGAGTTCCATCCGGGTATAGATTGAGGTCGATAGATCTTCCGTAGTCGATCAGATAGAGGTCGCCAGCGCAGAAAGTCTCATCGTTGTGCCGCCCTCGAAGTTTCGCACACAGCTCTGACGGAGGATTTCCGGGTGTAATCAGCCAATTGTCAGGTTTGATGTCGCCGTGGAGGACCTTTGCACTGTGGATCAGCTCGATGCAACGTAGCATTTTGATACTATAGTATACAGCTAATGCTTCAGGAAAAGCCACGCCGGACTGCAATCAGGGATGCGTTCACAGCTGTAAGTCTCAGCATGCACCAAAGAAGATGTGGAAGTATCAAACCTGTTTGTAGGAATTGAGGACATCGTAAAGTGTGCCAATGGGGCTTTTATCCATAAGGAGCAAAGCTCCATTCTGTCGAGTGGCGTTAGAGCTGAGCACAATGACAGGATCAAAAGTTCAAGTCACGAACCGGGAACAAATGAAGATCGCTAAATGCTGGCACAGGAATTTTGTCGTCCGGCAGCTTCCTCTCGTCTCTCAGTATTTTCGTGATCTTGTTCGTAACGTAGAATTCCCAAGCCAGGTTCTGGCGTTCCTTTTCATACTAAGCGGCAATCCAATCACAAATTTGTCGCAAACAGAAACAAATCACACTCATCTCTTACCTTGACAGCCTTGCTGCAAGTGATGTTGCCAACCGTGTCTACAACATTTGCTGAAAATACATATGCAAATGAGCCCGAACCTAACTCTCCGACTAGCTGAAGCGTTTGTGTTGAGCCGGCTTTGATGACAATCGGTTTTCGTAGCTTCCGCTTAGCCGAGTTATTGCACGGAACTCGGGGCAACTTTATTGAATGAAGTTTGACCGCATCAGGTCTCGAGCACAGGTACAAGTCCACTCGCCGATCAAGGATCAAAGCTTGGCGGTTTTCGTAAGTATACGGATCCAAACTCCACGGTCTCAAATTGGTGCGTATGGGAAGTGGCTGACTCATATTTCTTGGTGTCAAATAGTTAGTAATTGGCATAAATCGTCTGTTCTCATGGGGACACAAGATAGTGAAGTAGCCGGCCAACAACGTAAGTAGCAGCTATACCTTATTGACCCCTCCTGCGCTACATTCTTGGTAACACCTTGGATCCAGTGGCTATGACATACGCTGTTTAATGAGTAGAGTCGAACCATGAAGCTTTTTCTAATATAATAAATTGCAAACAAACATTGACGAGCAAGCAACGTCTCCTCTCTACCTTCCAGGAGATTCCTTTGCAGTGGCTTCCTTTTCTGCATGCATGAGTGCATCTTTGTTCGTAAGACGTCCACTCTTCACCAGGTCATCCCTGGCACCAAGGGGTTTCCTTTTCTGACTCCAAGTCTTCCTTCCTGTGCGTGGTTCCTCAGGAATATCATCGGGAAAAACCTGAAATGTATGCGCCGGGACAGACTCGTTCGGCTCTTGTCGAAATGATTGATCCTGCGCACTCATTGCTACGCTACCAACCAAATCATCAAACACACTAAAATGAAGTTTTCGTTCAACAGGATCACCCTCCTTCTCCTCCAAAACGGTAGTCTTTGGCAGTCTTGGTGGGCTACAGAACATGTTGTTGATATCCTCCAACGCAACACGAGTGTTGATGGTCATGTCTTCTTGGTCGCCGCTGTGCACTACATTTACCTGACTAGGTATTGCTGCTGCAGCTACCACCGGTAATACTGGTTCATGCTCAGCAAGCTTTACATCATGAGAAATTGGCCGCGTGGTAGCTGCTTTATGCAGCAGAGAAGCAGTCGAAACAGGTGCTGCCGTGGTTGCTTCTGACAATGTCCCAGCTACGTTAGATGCAGATTCAACATCGCTAGTCACATTTTGGAATGCGTGCTGACCAATCCGGCAACGCCGGTCGTATGCGTGCTTGTGTGCACGAGCTCGAATTTCTTCGAAAGAAATGGCTTCGCCAGCGTTGGAAGTGATCTGTCTAATATCATAACAGGATCTTTCAAACCTGCTCCTCGCTCCTTGTTTCTGCACACGTAACTTCTTATCGCTAGCCGTGAAGTTCTTCAATGGTTCCTGGGCAAGCATTTCTTCCTCCGTAGCCACTCCCTCTAAGCGCTGTCGCAGTGTTTGAGAACGATGTGTCAGAGATGTTCGTTGCTTCAATTCGTTCTCAGGTACAGAAAATTCATCGTCCACAAAAACCTGAAGTGGGATGGAATCTGGATGGCTTCTCGACGTGGACAACGCGAGACGCTCAGGATGACGGCTAGTCTCAACCACGTTGGTAACAGCGTGCGGGTCCCACGTACTGGGTGCCAGCTCGTTTTCTTTGTCCTGTTGCTGCATAGTGCCAAGCTTTTTCCAACAACCGTTACCGCCAAAAGGATCGACAGAGCGCACTACAGGGTCCTCGTAGACAATAAATACCGGTTTGTGCGCACTCGCTTTCTGAACACGTTGAGCCCGGGTAGACGCTCGATGTTGCTGAAGCTGTTGCCGCTGTGCATCGTTCAGTTCCAACATTCCATATGTCGATAAGCTTTCAAGAGCATGACGGTGAGTTACCTCATCAATGTCGCTCGTTGATCCATTTTCTTCGGTCATTCTCAGCCACTGACGACTCATACGCCGCTGAAACTCCTTGTATTTCCTCTCCAAAAGGTCCTGCGGTTCTGCATTCCTGATAGCAGCAAAAACATGCATTTTATACCACGTGTGTCTCATGAAATTGGGTTCATAGTAAAAACGTACTTCTGGCTTGCTTTTAAATAAATCTTATGTGCTTGTGGATAGTTTGCCATCGTCTCAAGCACGTAAGCCCAACCAATGTAAAACAAGGAGACGCGCTCACCAATTTTGTTCTGGTACAAATACTTAAATATGTCCTTAGGATTAGACACCAAGTCCGCCTAATGAAACATAAAAATTGGCACTTGAATATTATTACAACAAAAAGCCTTGAAGATCGTGTGATAGCACTTACGTATTGGATCCAGAGGCGAATGTATCTCATGTCGTTCCTGTATCTTGGATTATCCTTCAGTTGTCGCGTACATTTCTCCAGTACTTTAAATTTCTTTCGCGTATCCTCAGGCATCTTAATTTCCAGCCACCGCACGTACTCGAGCCAATCGGCGAGTGGATCGTCACCATCATAGGCTGCAATAGCACATTCCTTCGCCTTAACTTCATCTTCCAGTCGTAGCTTGGCCTGGAACGAGTCATGTGCACGCAATGATTTGTTTAAGTCAGCCACATTACGACCGCGCTTGAGCGGCATCACGTTCTCCTTGGACGTCTCCCACTCGAAATTGTCGGCTTTGCGCTTATGTAGAGAAGGAATTGTATCTTGAGATGAGGTCGTTGTCATGGGCATCCTTGGCTTTGGTATCATGTGCGTCCTGTGCTGGTGCCACCGTCCTGGTTGCGGCTCCGGACTGTCTGTCGCGTACGTCTCGCGTTATACTTGATTTCTGTAAGCAACTTGCAGATTGAGTGCGGACTTTGGGACCTGAGGGGTCGGGGTAATGTCAAGACCATCACTCTGTTATACTTGGCCTTTGTAGGACTTGCTTTACCCAACTACAATTTCGCGCGGTATTTAAACATTTGAAAGCAATTCAAATTTAGAAATAGATTGAAACCATATTTAGCAACAGAAAACTGATACGGGTTTTTATTTTTAATTGCTAGGTAGTAAGGTTATAAATTTTCTGCATGTAGCTAAAATTAACAGCAACAAAATGAAATTCTGATGGGTTTTTGCTGTCAAGTCTCGAAAGCATATTAAGATGATAAACGGGTCTGATTGGCCAATTCTTGGTCGTACTCCCGATTAAATTAGCAGGACTACTGTGACCAAACCACTCATTATACCTTTCCGGATGATGAAATTAAAACACTTGGTTATTGTAAAATCTTTCGCGAACTATCCGGAAGAGCACCAAATTTAAATAAGATGTTACTTCAGTCGGGCGCAGGAACATTTCCATTCGTCAATGTCATCCAGCGATCACCACACATTTTCAATAGACAATCAAGACCTCGTCGCCAACTGGATTATGACCTTTAAGCTGCAAGGAGCTTTCACAGCACTTGTGACGCCTTTTACAGAAGACGGAAGTGCCGTAGACTACGCCAAACTGCGTGAGTTAGTGGAGTGGCAGATCCAGGAAGGCATTAATGGTCTTGTGCCGGTGCGTGAAGTGGCGCATTCTAAAATGAGTGGCTGCTGGTGCTGATTGAAACTAACAACGGTATGCTGCAATGACTATTACAGATGGGTACAACAGGTGAGTGCCCCACGGTTACGCACGAAGAGCACGATCGCGTGATCGCTGAGGTGGTTGCTGCAGTCAACGGCCGCATACCTGTCGTCGCAGGCACGGGCTCCAACAACACGGCCGAAGCGCTGCGTTTAACGCGCGCAGCTAAGGATGCAGGCGCTGATGCCTGTCTTGTGGTATGTCCGTACTACAACAAGCCTACGCAAAAGGGCCTGTATGCCCACTTTAAGGCTGTGGCTGAAGTAGGTCTGCCAGTAGTCCTGTATAACATCCCCGGGCGGACCAACGTCAACTTGTCGCCTGAGACCATTGCTGAGCTCTACAAGCTGCCCAACATTGTGGCCATTAAGGAGTCTACAGGCTCTCTGGACCAGGCCATGGAGATTGCTGCTCTGTGTGACATCACTATTTTGTCTGGTGACGACAACCTGACGCTTCCGCTCATGGCGATGGGTGCTACGGGTGTCATTAGTGTACTTTCCAACGCCTGTGAGTTTAGCATCTTGTTGAAGGTATTTGCTGCTGCAATCGTTTACTCACGCTTTGACTGAAATTGCTTAAACAGCCCCAAAGAAGGTTCTAGCTGTCACGAATCCGATGCTAAAGGGCGACTATGCTACCGCTCGCAAAGCTGCTTTAGAAAACGTACGTTGGAATTGAATGGCGGCCATATGTAGTGTAGCTGATAGCATGATACTGAGCTCGTACTGCTGTTTGCACAGATCTTTCTGGTCAAGTCGCTTTTTAGTGAGGCCAATCCGCAGCCCATTAAAAAGGTGCTGCAGCTTATGGGCAAGTGCTCGTCTGCTGTGCGTCCCCCTTTGGTAAAGTGCGAGCCCTCAACCATTGAAAATCTCACGAAGCTGGTCCAGGAGCATAAGCTTATATAGACAGTTGTAAAGCAGGTTTTGATTCTGGCTGATTCAACGGTGTGTAATGCCATTTTTTTTCAGTATTCAACTTGTGCGCAGAACTACTAGCACATGCAAGATACAGGTGTTGACTTACTAAGCTCCTGGTTGTACCGGAAGCATCCTCACAAGCAGGTAGAAACTGCACCAGTACACCATATCGTAATCCAAAGCAAGGATGAAGAACGCCGAGTAAAAAGCACAAAACTTACTCAACCGTTGATGTTTTTCTAGCAGCGAGAAACTAAACTCAACTACCGAGTACGTTGTTTAATACTTGCTAGAGCCGTTTGGGCTGTCCAAGTTGGAATCAACGCTGAAGCCGCTAATACGCGAGTCTTCGCGGCTGAAGGAAGACATGCCAGAGCTGTACGAGTCCGCGCTGGAGCGCGATGTTCGAAAACCATACGAGTCCCTTGTCGATTTCTCACTCTGTAGCCGTGATTGGTGCATTGCTTCCGAGAAGCCCGTAACTCGAGAATCCTCGGTAATACGCGAGTCTTCCGTTTCATGGTAGCCAGCAGTAAACCGCGACTCTATCGTAGCACGAGAGTCTTCCGTAGGGCGGGATGACATTGAAAAGTTGACATCGTGCTCACTAATGCCCGAGATGCGTGACGTGTTGTCTTCCGATGACCCGCTTACCACGCTGAGTCCAGCAATGCTGCCAAATCCACGAGCCTTCAACTCAGATTGCTCCATGGAGTCTAGGCGCGAGTCCATGTGAGATGACAACGAGCCGTTCCAGTCATTATTCTGGAAGTGCTTGTACTGTCTTGTCGACACAGCCGAGTCACCAAAATTGGACGTCGACGCCTCGCTCTGATTACGCGGCGAAAGCATCGACGTATTGCTCATGCCGTAGTTATTATTAGCTTTACCTTTGGGCTGGTGTCCTGCGGTACCCGCGACAGCGTAGCTAGCCTTGTCTGAGTATACATCGGTATCCAGGCTGCTCTTAGGGAGCAAGTGGGAGGAGTTACCGTTACTCGGGTTGAGCTCCGATCCACGCTCGACCGAAGCCAGAACGGCGACTGACGACTCTTCACTCATCATGTTCTCCGCTGCATTCATGTCGTTGTTACGAGCCGTTACGTTGGCAATGTATGTGAGATCAATCTTGCCGTCGTTGTCGTCGCCAAGAGCACTATCATTCATGTCGCTAGCCAGCGAGGAAGAGATTGTGTTGAAACCCTTGTTAGCAATCGCATGTTCCTGCTTGCGACGACGCATTACGAAGGCGAAGCCGACAAGACCCACGATACAGCAGCCCGCCACAATAGCAATGATAGCGACGCCACTTCCATTGATGCCGCCGCTGCTAGAGGTCGAAGCTGAGCTGATCGGGTCTGCTACCGTCTTATCATCCTGTAAGCTCATGGAATCGGACTTCACGGCCGACTTGTCACTAGTCAAATCCAGCGTTGATTCTTGCTTTGCCAAACTATCCTTAGATACGTTGCTGGAATCAATACTGGGGTTGCTGGAATCAATACTGGGGTTGGCGGAACCTATGAAAGACCAAGTTAGTGGTGGTGCAGTTGTTGCGGGTGGAGCAGAAGTAGATGAGATGGACATGTTCGAGGCAATTGTGTCAGAAGTTCCTACGCTACCTGGTATGAGCGTAGTCGCGATCTCAGTCTCTGCCGATACGACGCTAATCTTCTTGAAGACAACGTACTCTTCTGATGCAAGATTGAGAGTGCTCTCACCTGGCAACGCTACGAGGCCCACAATAGTGTAGTCGCCAGGTGTAGCCAAGGTAAAAGTCGCGGTCTCCAGTGTCTTCGTACCGTCCGCGGCAAATTCTCCAGTGCTTGTTCCATCAGCTCCTGTTGGGACTGCGGCTACGTTTACGGCGCAATTTGTGCCAGCCGTACAGGCGGACAATGTCGAGGTTTTCACGGGACGTGGTAATCCTGTGGCCGGGTCGATGGCGTTTGGAAAGATGGAGTTGGTCAGACCCGGAATCATTTTGGCCGCCCACTTGACTGTAATCGGTTCATTCACGTGAAACGTTGATTCCGTAAGTGTGAGCGTCACGCCTACAGAACAGCAGCCAACATTGCTCGCCTCTAGCGTGCCAAAGATCAAAGCGCCGACCCCGTCGTTCTTGCCCATGCAGTAGGTGGTGGCTCCGTCATGCGCGAATCCGTTGTCAATATCGCCGGCCAACGCTACTCCAAAAAGCGCGGTCATGGTCACTATGAATGTCGAAACAACCTTCATGTTTGCTACCTGAATCCTTAATTAATATACTACCAACTCAACTCTTTGAATCGCGTCAAGACAGTTCCGCAAAACGCGTCCTGTTTGTAGAAATGACCACACCCCAAGACCTGGTCAGCGCTGAAAAGAAGTCGAAAGTCACAGGCGCTGGTCTGTCTTTGTGCTGTCTATATTCTACACTCCACCAGCTGGTTTTGCAGCGCTTTGTTTTCAAAGAACTCGACACTTTCGCTGGGTCAACACCGACGATGTTTGAAACGATTCTTTTTGATTGTACTAGTAAGGCCGATATTGCTAGCACATAGATGCTGCATAACCAGCAACGACATGATGGTTGTCGTGGTTTTGAGAAGGCTACTTTTGATTGAAATACACCTTCTTTTGAGTGTCAAGAGAAGACTACCATGGCGATCAAAATTGCATTGCAACCGTACAAGTAAACGACGTTTGAGTGGATAATACTGCCACTATATAGAGCGTAAGCGCATACTTTTCGCGCATGGCAAGATCAGTACATTAGAACAAGCTCCAAAGCGAGTGTTCTTGTGTACGTTCATATTTGTACCAGTATTTTTCTAGGAAAGACTCGAGACAGTACAGATCTTATGATCTATCGTACAAAGTAGTCGATTGTCCATGTACAGAAAGCGTCCTATAGGTCCGATGTCTACGATGCAACGAAACAACGTCGCAGCAAGAAGCAACAGTATGCGATGATAAGCTTAAAGGAATTGCCAGCACAATCAGCAACCTATGCCACCACGTTATTAGGCAACAAGCTCTGCAACAAACGCGAGCCAAAAAACATATATTCTTTGGTTAGCTTTCATACTATTAGTAAATACGTGTACTCATGCAGCCAGTTATTAACGTAAGACGTTGTGTCATGACGTCTGCATCGGTACATGGTGCTTAGCTTGTGTGATATGTTGATAGCTTGTGTCGAATATCGATAGACCGAGAAGAGACAGGTGGCGAATTACTAATCGCGGCAAGAATGTACGACAGTACAATGTGGTTCAGGGAAAGCATTGTGTCTCGCATGGGCTATTAAAAGTCCACCATTTGATCAGGAATATTCACGCTCGGCAGGCGGCGCGGCCAACCTCGCTTGCAGCCACGTGACAGTAATACCAGCAGTTTTTCTGATTTTTTCTGTCAAGTTCTTGGCTAGCACATGACCAACAGCTGAATGACCAAGACAATTTACATGAAGAATACATACAAGCAAGTGTACAAGTGCAAGTGGATATACAACTTTGTTACGACATGACACAAACATATTGTGTAGGGTAATCTTACTGAATCTCTAAGGCTATATGGTCATCAACCGGTAATGAAGTAGGCATCTTTATGGACGGTAGACCGGCTTCCATTCTGCTCTGATGTGCTACAACTACGTTGTGCCGCTCCGATCACGTGACAGCGTCTCTAGACTCACATTCTACGGCGCTTGGCGGACCATGCTGATGTACGTGAGTCAAGGGCTTGCACTACTAATTGTTGCGCTCTTAGCTGTTTACAAGAGATTTGGAAGCAACTGCACGAATTCATCAGGCTCACAACTTGGGCAGCTGACTCTTACAAAGACTCGCTAGTCTTGACCGTGCAGTTTAGCCTCATCCAAGACTTCTGCCATGTGTTGTCGACATCATGCGGCTACGAATTACCCACTGTCGAGACTTTGATGACGCCTCTTATTATGCTATTAGGGCATCATCTGGAGCTGTCCAGTATGGAGCTGTCCAGTATGGAGCTGTCTAGTGTTCGTGCATAGTTGTTATGCAACTTGCTACTCTACAGTCCACACCTTTACTTCTCTCCGGCCTCAGCCGCGTTTCGAGCAGCTCCTCTTCGTTGCCGTCATCAAGTTTCGCACCTGCAGAAACCGACGTCACTACTTGACTTGATCACATCTAAAGGTTCCTGTTCTGCTCGCAGTAGCTATGAACTAGTCATAGCGTTATAGCAACCGTTACATCTCCTTTTTTCCTCCTCACTGTTAACGTTGCAGCCTGATAGGTGGCCACTTAGCCTCCTGAATTGTCGATGTCACTCGACACAATGCCATTCCGTCTGTAAGCATCAATACATTTCCGGATGAAAAAGAAGACACACTACAACTGTCACGATGTGCGGTTTCATCTAGCATAAGCTCCTTACGACACAACGTATTATTGACACAACAAATACTTCAGGGCAAAGTCAAGGGTATGCATGCCCTTCTTAGTCTTCTTACAACTTCTAGTCTCTGTTTCCAGTTATATCCGTCCACGCTGAAATCCAGTAAGTCACAGCATTAGTCACTCTACTTGCGTTTCTTCTCCACCCACTTGTCGAATCCGTAGCACGTCGCAGCTCCAGCACTTATAGCGACCGCAGAGTTTCGTACCGCCGACCACTTGCCGCCTGTACTAATCAAATAACGTTAACCCCGTCCTCATAACGATTAGCAACAGTCACGTACGTATCAAGAGTGACGGTATGCCCACCACAACCGCCAGACCTGCCGCCGCCATGTCCGGGTACGTGCTTCGAAACTCATTTGCTTTCATCAGCTCTGCACATATCACCATAAATTATTATTACAATCGTATAGTATAACCATTGCATTCTGCTATTACTACTGACGTTGCTGGGCATGACACAACGCGCCCTTTACAGGCACAAGTTGTTCGTCTGCAATCTGATTAATCTCCTGCAACTGTACTCGAGCCGCATAGAGCTGAACGTTGAGTCTTTTTCGTGCCACACCCACAACGTTGCGCAGTTCCGTGCCTTCATCTCCTTCTGCACGCTTAAATACGTCCATAATTGGTGCTACTAACGTCTTGGTAACCTCCCACGTCTCTTGCGCCGTCTCGTCCAGCGCGTGACGGACGGATTTCGACAGCTCCTTCACGTAATTTACCTCTTTCATCACCATATTCTGCTGTTCTTTCATAGACCTTGAACCTTCATCACTCGTAGTCTTAGATACCTCATCCAGCTGCTTGGATCCCTCACCATCGGAAGCGTCTCGCAGTTTTTTCTCGTCCTTGTCCGTCATGCTTTGGTTTTGTATACTATGGAAATATCCGTTCGTGTTACAGTCAGTGTGTACCACACGTACGTGATGTGGTATACACACCTATTGATGTTGCTCACACCATTCGTCTACAATTTTCGGTGCGCGCAATACTACTAATGGAGGCAGCGGAGACACAGCTTGCGCGTGCACTTACGGCGCTTACCGAGCATGAATTCCCATTATCTCGAGGTATGGAGAAGAGAATGGATGCATACTTACAGCTAGAAGATTTTCAGCATCTGGAAGACAGTGAGGCTTCCGTTATTCAGCTGCAAAAACACCTGCCGTCTCTATTGGGTGAGCTGCGCTTTGACCTAGAGCACAAGACGTTAAGTGAGGTGTTGCACGCGTCAATGCAATGTCTTTCGTACTTTATGAATCATCGCAGTTTGGCTTCCAGTTTTTCAGATGATGACTTGGCTTTCTTCCTTGGAGAACTCATTAAACTCTTGTTCTCGACGACGGACCGGAATACATTCAAATTGTGTCTCTGGTGCCTTACTGTGTCGAATATTCCAGTGGAGAGACACAAGTATCTGCCACATACAGTTGAAGGATTGGTGCATGCGGTTGTGAACCCGTTCAAGTCGCGTGCAAGTATGTGAGTGAGAGGATATCAAAGACAGATGAAGGTGAATACTGACTAGTTTCTTGTGCTACTTAGTCGAAATCCAGGCGTTAAAGGGACTTCATTTGCTGCTGGTAAAGTACCCGGAGCAACTGTGTGCTAATAGGACTGTGTTGAGCATTTACGTACGTCCAATTGCTAGCCGTCTGTCGAGCAGCGACGCGTCGGCAAGGACACAAGCGCGACTGGTGCTTGAAGAAGCTAGCAAATATATTGCAAAATGGTCACATGAGACACTTCAAATGGTTCAGGATTGCACTGAACAGTATGTGCTGCCTGCCATGAAGTTACACATGGATCGCGGCCGTCAGAAAGACGCAGTGTATCTGTGGAAGTTAACGTTGGTACTGCTGAAGTCGAGATTCTTAACCGATTTGGAAAAGCTAAATCAGGTCTTGTACGTTCCCGAAAAATGCATGAAAGATCAAGATGCAGCTGTACGACTGATGACCATGCATGCGTGGGCTGGAATTGTAGACATTTTTCATGATTGCCAAGATTGGTTGTTCAATAAGGCCGTGGTGATTTTACTTGCATGGCCAGTTAAGGCTTGTTTGGAGCAGGAAAGGCTGTTGAACGTTGTAAATGCCGCATTTCTGTCATGGAAAAAAATTGTAAGCGTTGCTGTTCAAGATTTTAATATGTATTGCAAAGTCCAACAGCAGGATATTGAGGCAGGACAGCAGCAAATTATACCTGAGTGGAAATTCTGGTTTGGAGAATTGGTTATGAGTCCTCAGCTTACTTTGATGAGAACTCGAATTTGTAATAATGATAGCTCGTCCATTGAAATGGAGCTGGAGCATTTTGTTAACTTCTCAGAACGGATATGGGAACCTGTGTTGTGTGAATCTGGTAAAAGTGCGAGTGATGCATCTCGGAGCGAGAGCAGCATAATGTTGGATGGGTTGGGTGTGAATGAGTCTGTTGCTACGAAGCAGCATCAGAATGGTAGTGGATTGATTTTAACGGGTGTTCAGACATGCGACGCGATTGGTATCACGTCCGATCTGCTTGGTATTGCTTTTCTGCTTGCAGACATATTTACAGCTATCCCAGACCTGATCAAGATATTTAATGAGAGCCACGGAAAACTTAGCAAGAGGTGCGCACATGATTTGGCAATGGCTACATGGAATGGGGTTTGCCAACGCGTTCTCTCCGGTATGAAACGCAACGATACTATGCAGGTGTCTAAGTTTGCTTTGCGTCTCGTGAGGATGTTAATTGAGTTTTTGTTTGGAATACTGACGTGGACACCTGTTTCAGCAGTGATGCCTGTATCTCCCAGTGTGACTGCTTTCACTGAGCAATCTGGCGAACACAATGACGGCAAAGCTGTTGTTACTACATCCGTGGAATTTGGATTGGAGTGGCAACTGCAGTTACTCGCTCCCCTTGTGTCCGGTGTCGCGTTTATAGGAGATTTGGAATGTGTGATTCTTCATTCAAAATGCAAATTATTTGACCATATCACCCAGCGTATGAACTGTTTGACTACAAGACATGCTCAGTGCGCGATAGTGCTGGAGAAATGGAATAAGATTGAAGATCGCGAGCTCCGAATTGACTTTACCGCGAAGTCAAATGTACTTTCATATCTTGTACTCAATTTGCTTTGTGAATATGCAGTTTTTGTTGATGATATGACGAGCGACTGTGAGAGCAAAATGGAATTGACGTTAGCGTCTTTGGAAATTGTTTTGAGAAGGCTCGCGCTGAGCTTAAAGCTCCAATCTAGACAAGATTCGCGAGTGCTGAGCGTTGTGATTTGTTGTGGCGAGACATTTATCCGTGTTGCTCACGAACTTATCGCTTCTGGTAATGTAGCGAGTGAGACAACGCCAAGAAGTGAGAGAACGGGCATGCTCGACAAACTCGTAAGTATATGCAATGACTTGACAGAGCACAGCAACGAAAGTCAGCAAAATGTGTCGCTGTCACTAAATTTGCAGGAATCTTGTGAGCATTTTGGTGCTGGTGCGACTGTTAGCACGACTAGCATTTCTAGCGATGCATCTGATGGAGAAGAAAAGAGTACTGGTGTCGCTGCGCCTGAGGCTGCAAATGTGTCAGTATCATTTGATTCTAGTATCTCTTCACCGTTCTTATTGAGCGAGGAGAAATTGGCAATTCAAAGCCCGATTGAACGAAGTTCATCCTCTTCGCTTAATGAACAACCGAAGCTTCAGCGGCCCTCTCAGCAAGGTCCATACACAAGCTTTGATAAAAGTTACGATGCCAAACGTGCTTTAACAGCAGGAGACGCAGAACAAAAGGATGCACCGTCGTCAAGTACAAAAGTGTCGCCGATACGGTCTGTTGGGTCTCAGTTGGTCCCACTGAAGCTGGTAAGTGAACGTGATTGCCGCTCAAATTTTAGCACATTACAGTGTATTTACCCAGACCTCGTTGGATCTACAGAAGAGATTGCGTCGCTGTTTAGACATCTTCCGCTAGGATTCAGGCCGATATTTTCGTTTTACAAGATTAGAACTATTGGTGACCTGAGTGCCTTGCCCGTGGAAAAGGTGAAGACTTTTGGGGTCAAAAATCCCGTGAGCACCGTTCGACGAGCGCTAGAAGAGTTTAATGGACGGAAAAGTCGTATGCAGTCATTAGCGGGTAGTTGTTTGGCCACCACAAGTCCAGCAATTTCTACGCCATCTCCCCACAAACCGACTAAACGTTCATTTCCTGTAGATTGTGGGATGATCTCCCCTATCATTCTTGAAACACGTGAACATAAGCGTGCAAAACGATCGTTAGTGCTGGATGCAGAAGACGGCGACCACAAACAAGAAAATGGAGGAGCTTGTCGGAAATGTGAGCAGGCAAATAAAGTCACGCTATGCCTTCCATTTGATGAAGCTGATGAAACTCGAATCTCTCGCGTTGGCAAGGACTTGGATAACCAGATAAAGCTGTGTGAGAAGATTGATGAAAATGACAATAGGCAAGAGAAGATGGACAGTTACACCGTCAAGCTTCTTCAGCATTTACGGAGATCTGCCTACTACATTGACAAACTCGTTGCAGAAGCGGAAAGTATGCATAGTGGAGAAGCAAGCCTGCAGACCAAAATTACGACAACACATGGTGTTATCACGAATTATCACGAAGCCCACGATTTGGTGGTTCGACTTGCATCACAACTTCAGATTGTAGCTGAAACAAGCTCCAAGCGATGCCACAAATTGCTGGAGAAGTTTGTTTCAACATGAGTAGCAAAGATCAGAAAACACGAGGACAGGAGCGACGAAAAGTAATCACGGATTGTCAAAGAATGAATGGCTTCTATCTCGAAGTGTTTTGGGAATTGAATGCTGGGAGCCGCGTTCTGAGGTGAAAAAGAAAGTTTAGCGTCGACACTCACTGAAGTGTTCACAGGAAAACGTGCAACTGCACAAGTAAAACACTCCAGATGCCAATCAGCACCTATATCTGGCACTTGCGCCATATCCTCTCATCAACATATCGTCGAGACTCTGAGAATTGTGCGCCAATGGAATAAAGTAGGGTGATACACCACCGCTTTCAAGCGAATGCATTCTTATGGAATACTTGCCCGATATGTTCGTATGACGTGCTTCAGTGTGACCACATCTTTCATTGTGTCCGACACTGCTTTGATTGTGATTCATCTTTTTTGTTATCGTATACGTCTACTCTTGCCGTCAACAGCGAAGTGGCTATTTGCTCGACTAGCTAGAGAGTAATTCTAGACGTCATCGGCATCAGGTTTCTAATATTGCTTGGAAGTGATTGCATGGTCTTGAAATGCTTTGTACACTATTGCTCCCACAGCGTAGGAGATAGCAGAAATCCAATCCTTCTATGAAATGCTCTTAGAAGACCCCGGTACTTGAAAGAAGAAAAAGGAGCAGATTAAAAAAAGGTTTGTGAAGAAGAGTGTTAGCGAAGATTGATTGGAATGGCTGGCTGCTGTAAGACAAGACCTTGTCGACTGCTTTGATCCTGCATTGCTATGCTAATGTTATGATTATGGGTTCAGGAAAACTAATACTCGATTGGATGTTGTTTGCGGCTACTGCTCTGTGAAAGAGAACTGAATATTTTGAAGCAATAGTTCCCCTGATGCACTGGAAGCGACTGTGCATTGAGTGGAAAATGAGTCACCAAGACGATAAGGAACAATTTGTTGTCCTTGTAGCCCAAGAAAGATTCCATTCTCGCATGTGGTGCCGGAACAATGCTCAATCAAAGCACTCACTTCCATAGCGATTGTCTTTGCCACCTCTGCTGCATGGCGATAGACCTGACATCTGTCCTCACATGAATAAAGTAAGCGGTCGATACAAAAGCTCCCGACAGATAGCTCCAAAACTTACCGGATCTTGCTTGTTTGAACAGCTGCATTTTCCCCTTGCACTACAAGTACAACGCTGGATGCGCGCAATGAAATCTGAAAATGCTTTGAATCTACTTTGCTTTGGTCACTCTCCATGACAGATGCAACAATAGACAGCATACGATCTTGGTTTGTATTGACTTGATACAGGTAAGACTCCGATGAATATCCAGTATCCCAATGAGGTGCGAATGGTGTCAAAGCCTCGGTTTGCGTGACCGACACAGCAACACGATCAGCGTTAAGATACCCAAAAGGTTTATTTTCAGTCTCGCTCTGTACAGCTAGTCGACGGCTGTCCAAATCTTTCCCATTAATCTTGACACTACCTGACAAATTTACCACAGTTGCGTCGGAGCCGATATTTACGGTAGTGCTGTCCACGCCAATGGATACAAGCTTTGCTTGAGAACCGATATCTACGTTTGCTTCTACTGCACCAATCGTGATATCGCTTGTCGACTTGCCACCAATATCGACTTTGCTTGACTGTATAGCAAGAGAAACACCCTTGATCGTAGTTGCTCCTGTACAAAACATTCACACGCTCATTAGCACATTGTTGATTGTTGCATTCCATAACCAAATAATGCCGTAAACACATACCAGCCATCGACAGTGTTTTGCTCTTCATGCTCACGTTGCCTACGTCTTTGCTACCAATAGTAATCTCGTTTGCTTTATCTCCAACAGTTAGCGTATCGGTTGAGTCCATAACCACAGACTTGCCCCTCATTAAAACTCCAGATGCTGTTCAAAGTTTAACATCAGGAAGAACAAAGGTAAGATGCCAGTGCTTCAAATCAATTACAAAGTCTCAAGCATAGTCTAACCTGTAGAGCCAATTGTGATGCTGGAGCTGAATAAATTTAGCTTGCTTTCAGGAGGCGGAAGCACCGTGGCTTTGGCACCATGTCCACCAATCGTGACGTGTGTAGCCTCGATGATAGCGACACTCGTCTTTCCTTGGGCACCCACCCGAAACTTCGTTGGATTTGCCATAACAGCAGTACCCGTAATAGACAATAAGGAGCTTGTATTGGAACTGCCGTTGAAGTGCACCAATCCTGAAATGGTTGTCATAGCTTCACGGTTGACCGTATTTATACTGAGTGTGCGTGATGCATCCAGCTGAATCGCCGACGACTTCATATTCAGTTTCTGTCCCGATATCTCAGTGTCACCAATACCAATAGACGAAGCACTCTTGCCAAAAGTAACACCTTTCGTTGCATCAAAAGTGAGGCTAGAACCCTGCACTTTAATCCTTGACAAACCCATTTTACCCACTTGTATTAACGGTGACGACGAACCCAAATGGATATTATTCGAGTTTACATGAAGTTCTGATAAGTTGGTCGCTCGGTTATCAAGTGCAATCCGCTGCGAAGACACATCAAATCGACCGCCTCCCACTTTAACCTTTGTGGTATCATTCATACTAGATATGTGATTGAATGACACAAGACCGTGAATAGTAACCTCGTGGGTCGAGCCATGACTTCCAATCTCTGTTAGCGATGAGTCCGTTGGATGCAGCCCAGCGTTGATAGTAACTGATCCGTATTCCAATCCCGATGCATTTGCTTGGCCTCCGACCAGTATCACGTCACCACCCACGTTCAGTCCGTCGCCACCCATAATGCGTATGTCGCCACCTTCCTTCTGTACCAAAGATGTTTGTCCAGATACTTCAAGTATCACACTCTCGCTTTCTTCGGCGTCATCGGCTAGTCTTAATGCTCGTGCGCGATTATCATCATCATCGTCGCTGCCACTATCAATGGCAGCAGGAACCGAGATTCGTACTTTTCCACTTGTAGACGTACCAACAAAAACTGAACTCGATTTCAGGTGAAGCGCCTGAGGTGTAGACAAAGTGGACAAGTTGTCCTTGTGCTTGATCACAAAATCATTGCCGATACGTATTTGTCCAAGCGTACCATCCAGTATTATACCAGATGTAAGCTCATCAGACTTTGTGTTGGCCACCGTCACAGTTCCGGCTGGATCGACAAAGAGCAGCGGCTCGCCTCCTGCGCTTGTGACCACAGACCCAGTTTTTGACACAAGATTCAAGTCGCCCTCCTCCTCCGCTCTACCCAAACTGCCAGAAGCTGTAGTCATCATCGTGCCATCACCAAACTGTATTCCTTTTCTGGCACTTAGATAGTCTGCTTCAATCATCGGAGCTATTGACCACACAAAAGCAGCAACTTGTAAGTCATCGCGTAGCAAAATAAATGTTCTCCTGCTTTACTTACACTCCACTCGATTCGTAAACAACGCCGTGCCATTTGATAAGAACGATACGCCATGAAACTTTTGCGTCTCACCCGAGTGGAACGAACGCCGTCCTATCCTCAGTTTCCCGTCATTAAAAGCCATCATACCTTCCGAAAATACTGAATTCGAGTATCCTAACACCATAAAAGTGATAAAGTGGTCATTATAAGTCATCTGTCAACTACTATTACATGATTTTCCCACGCACCGCTTTTAAGAAAGATCTCTGCATCATCGTGAGCTACAACTGTAAACCGGTTGTCCACTGTTGTTCCAAATAAATCATTCTGATGGGACTCAAAGAAATCAGTCTGCGTCAAGTAAATGGTAATACAGCACATGAATGCAAAACTTAATAGTGTGAGCACACCAATTGCCGTCCAAAACACGTCACTGTCCTCTCGTTTACGTCTTTGCAGTATAATTCGTTGCAGAATTCCACCATTCGATCGATAGCGAAAGCTGTTGAAATTATCATTTGAGTGAAAAAACCCTCGACGGCCTTGTAGTCTACGCAGTCTTTGGACACCAACACTGGCCAGACCTTCAGCATCTTCTCCATCATCTTGATCATTCAGCATTAGTGCTTCCTTGCGTATATCATCACCTGGTGACTCCATGGGAATCGCTTGACGACCACGAGAATACGTGTGTTCTTCTCCTTTTATCACTTCTTCCTCATTCGCATTCGCTTGATCTTCTATTTCTTCCTCTTCTTCAGTGACATACTGACCCTGAATATCCTCTTTATCAAGAGTCAGTGCACGACGTCCTCGATTTTGAACAATAACAGACTCCCGATCTCTTTCTTCTACCTCAATAACTTGGTGCTCTTTACGGATAAACGACATAAGAGTAAATACTTTCAAAATATTCGACGATTGGTTGTCAAATGAAAAGCGGAAATTGTTGGATGGATGTTGCAGCAAGGAAGACGTTCTATTATCGTATTGTATTCTAATATTAAAATACAATACGATCACTTCAGAATGTTGCTCGAATGAATATATTTTCTATCCTGTTAATTCAAGATGGGAACTTATGTATTATACTCATATTGGCGTAGCAGTTGTAGCTGGCGAGTACGCACTGCGTTGGAATGGAAAGGAATTCCCTATGAATATCACGCAATACACGTGCTAATTGGTCGTGACGAACAGTTCCAGGACAAGTATACAGCGCTTAACCCGAACCAGGTCCGTCTTTTTGTCACGAATTGTTCACATACATTTAACGATACTAAAAAACACTTTGATGTGGCAGCGTTTACCGACTCTTGTAGTCGACGGTCATATCTTACCTCAATCTGGTGCCATTCTTGAGTTTCTGGAAGAGACACATCCAGAAAAGCCGCTACTACCAACTGACGCTTTTGCTCGTGCCCAAGTGCGCAATTTGTGTGCAATCATCGGTTGTGATATTCAACCCATCCAGAACCTTTCAGTGGTGCTTAAGGTACGCACGTTTAGTCAAATACAATGCAAGCGTGTACAAGTGCGACTGACTTTTGTTGTGATGAATTGTAGGCGACGGAAAACCTTCCGGAAGAGCAACGAGCTACTAAGAAGCAGCAGTGGGGGAGGTACTGGATCGAACGCGGTTTCCAAGCACTTGAAGTAGAGTTGGTCAAGACGGCGGGTGTATACTGCTTTGGTGATAAAGTTACTCTTGCGGATCTGTATCTGCAGCCGCAAGTGTACAACGCCAACCGATTTGGCGCGGACGTAACCAAATTCCCGACCATAGCTCGTATTTCTGCAGCACTGGAAGCCGTACCAGCGTTTCAAAAGGCTCATCCGTTACAACAACCTGATGCTATTAATTAAATTGGTACGGAAAATATGGCAAACGCCGACAAGTCTTCTTGACTGAAGATGCGTCGCATACTTTATTGAGTTTGCTCAAAAAAACGCAATTTCATCTTTACTGCTTTTAGATGCCGCTTGACAATGCGAACTTGTTGCTTGTCCACTTGACTTTGAGACTTTTCCATCGCGAGCGCAGCGTCCATTTCTTTTTTCAGCTTCGCGTATTGCTCCTGTGACAAATTGTCACCAAAGGGAGAGCTCAGTAGCAACTTGGCATCAACTGTGCTTCGAAGAGTGCGAAGTGCTTTTGCAAAGTCATAGATGCAGCGCTGCCGCTGGTAATTAAACCACGGCTCGAAGTGAGCGGATTTCACAAAAGCTGTGTACAAAGCCTTCCACTTAGTTTGCTTGATCTGAGGAGGTAGCTTTCGTGGCTTAATGCTCGCGAGTAGTCCTGGCAGTGTGAACGGCTTCATGTAGTCCTCAGCATTCATGTACAAATTTGACCGCCTTTCACTTGATTTCCAAATACCAAAATACTGTTTAAACGGATGTAAAAAGTCTTTTGTAAGCTTTCGAAAGTGCTGCAACAGCACGGATCAGAGGAATCTTCAATCAGTATGGCTCGTTTTTCGTTTGTAAATGAACTGCTGCTTACATTTCGAAGAATGGCGTTGTTAATTGTAGTGCATGGCGCTTCATCATGGCTAGTGGTCTGAGTGATATGGACCGGCATAGAAGAAACAAGTTGGCGAAGAACTGCAGCGTCTGGAACCATATAACGAGGGCAACGCCTCAAAAGCTAGGTGTTGCAAACAATCTACACATGAGTTACTTAACATCAAATGGTTAAAGAAAAGCAGAGATACTGCCATTGCTTACCATGGGACGAAAGCTGTTTTCAAAATCATCCAGCTCTACGCTCTTTTGAATACGAATACAAATAGTGCCAGTTTTCTCTGCTTCTGAGGCAACTTGAGTCCTGCTGGAGCCTACCATTGTTACAAATGCTCATTTCGTCAGACGCATTATCGAAAATAACAATCAATAAGCCGTTTCGACCTTTCTCTCGTTGTGCTTGCGCATTTGGGGACTCTAGGAACGGAAATACTAAAGCGTTTGGCCAATGGCTCAGCGACTAAGCAAAAAGAGAATCAAGGGTTGATGAGTTCCACTACTGCAGCAGAAATGAGTAAGATCAACAATACCTTCATGAAGAAAGGGTTTGTGGTTCCAATCACAGTTACGTTATTTGAGTTGCTATTGCCTCTGTTTTGCCTACTTGATAGCGTCTATGTAATAAAAACACAGTCTGTAAGAACAAAACAGTAGTGACGATAATCATCAAATGCAACAATTCCGCAAGTAAGAGAGCTTGCATTAAAATCTGCTTCGTAGACTGTGAAGTATGGTCTGTAGTCACCATGGAACTCAAGTGGCGCAATTAAGCTGATATCAAACAGCAGGTCAGTATAGCATAAGATGCAATGGTCGAGAAGAAAAGGAGTCAAACCTGGTAAACGCTAGCACGGCTTGACTGCATGTCTTGGCGTGAGGAGATAGAATCAGAACGCTCTCTCCAGTAATTGCAAGCTGCCACAAAAGCCACAGTGATTCTTCAAAACCCGCAAAACTTGAGTATAGTCCGATATTCTGAGAATTTGATACGAGAAAAGGGAAGCTTTTAGACGAAATGAGATTGTTGCGCTTCTATAAACATCGATACGTGCCTCAAATGGAGTCAATTGATGTGTCCGCTTCAATAATAGTAGATCTCCAAACGATGGCGACGGCGGGTGTTCCCTCCGTGGCACCAAAAACTTGCCTCCTTTCACCTGCACCGTCTCTTTGGTATCTTCCTCTGCTTCTTCAAAGTTCTCTTCTTTTTCTTCTATCTCATCAAAATTTGGAGCGTCTGTGGCATCGTCGTTTTCTTCAATAATAAAATGCCAATGAAGAGATGATTCTGCGTTCGGCTCGTAAGCTAAATCAAAGTTTTTGTAATTCAGTAGCTTTGGGATGATACACGATATGTAAGTGCCAGCCAGTGGCAGCGCCATGGGTGAATCGTACACAAGATTTGGCCTACCGAACATCATCCACGTTCAGTACCTAAATACTAGCTGCTTTATCTTGCAGCTTAAAATCCTAGTAACCTTCATACCACGACTTAATATTGTTGTACACAGCAGGTAAAACCTGCGATCCAGCCTTGAAGTAAAGTGGACCAATCACCCTCAAAGCGCGATCATACAGGTCCACATAAGGCTTGGTACTGACTAGAACAAGAGACTTTTGAAAGTATCTGCGAGTACGAGACTCGTCCTTTTGCTGGCGAAACAGCACAAATCCGAAAAGAAGCTCATGGCTGTTGCAAGGCAAGTGCACACAGTCAGTCCTGAGTCAGTAAGTACATGAGTAAGTAACAAAGCGTTTAAAGGCGTGAGCTGACAAACTCTTCAGTATTATTCCGAAAGCGCACAGTAAACTGCGTGTCTCCTTCGTCTTGATTGTTACAATGAGGCAGCGACAAGTGCGCCAAACTCGTCTTGGCAGCCTCCGAGAGGTCACAGGGCAATGGATACAGTGCATCCAGCTTCTGTCCTGACTCAATATCAAACACAACAGTTGCTATTGCCTGTAGACCGTAAGTCGAGGTTAGATCTTGGTCTTTTCTATCCATTACTACGTCTATTTGATTGATACTAACTAAAGACCCACGTGAGTTATTGTTGAAAAAATTGCTTTGTATATTTTTATCCAATCACAGTCCACAAATGTACTTGCTCTACATGTTTGTGGTTGACACGCATGATGCTCGGAAGACGCAGTCGTAGCGCCGCCTCGCTCATGTGGCGCAGCTTCTGGAGATCTCCAGTGAATCAACTGCAGCGCACAATATCTACCACGGATCTTTCCAGATGCTCAGTTATTCGAGATGTGCGGTATTTAGACACTGGCTCACTCGTGACCGTGGCGGGATGGGTCAAGGCTGTGCGCAAACACAAGTCCGTGAGTTTTATCAACGTTAATGATGGCTCGTGTTTGAGTGATCTGCAGATTACGATTTCTGGAGAGGTTATGAAGATGGGATTTGTCGAAGGAGGTCTTGGTGCTAGACTCAGTGATATCACAGTCGGCTCAAGCATCTTCGCGGAGGGAGAACTCCAGGAGATACATGGGGGCAAGCAGAGACAATTAGAACTGCACCCGAGTAAGCTCGAAGTGATTGGAAGATGCAACGCTAAGAAGTATCCGCTGCAAAAGAAGTACCATTCGCTTGAGTTTTTGCGTGAAAATATGCATTTGCGAGCTCGTACCAACACAATTGGTGCCGTCACACGTGTGCGCAATGCTCTTGGGTAATTCGGCGTCTTTACTGACAGGTTGGATGGTTCTTGAGCTATATATCTGATGTGGCTGGGTGGAATGTATGTGGTAGACAAGGACTGCATGCGTATTTCCAGGAAAATGAGTTTTTGCACCTACATAGCCCCATTCTGACCTCGAACGACTGCGAGGGAGCTGGCGAGATGTTTCGTATTGGCAAGATAGGTGTGTTTTTGTTGTTATTGATTGCGATAATGTATATGCAGCTAAAGGTTGGAGTCTGTTTGTGATGTCTTGATGACAGGTGAAAAAAACGAGGAGTTCTTTGACACGCCGACGTATTTGACCGTATCAGGCCAGTTACATTGTGAGATGTATGCCTGTGCATTGGGTAAAGTGTATACGTTCGGACCGACCTTTCGTGCCGAGAATAGCAACACTACTCGTCATTTGGCAGAATTCTGGATGGTTGAGCCTGAGATGGCCTTTGCCGGACTTGACGAGTGTGTTTCTTCTGCGCAAGGTGCCATTCAGCGTTCTGTAGCTCATGCACTAGAAACTTGTGCAGAAGATATCGAGTTTTTTAACAAGAAGTATGACATGGAACTAGTGAATCGACTAGAACGTGTTGTGGAAAAAGACTTTGTCCGCTTGACCTATACTGAAGCTATCAAGATTCTCCAAGAAGCGGCGTCGGGTAGTAAGGGCAAAGTGTGTTTTGAGAAAGAACCAAAGTGGGGAATGGATTTGCATACAGAGCACGAGCGCTTTCTTGCTGAGAAGTTTGTTAATGGACCGGTCTTTGTGACAGACTACCCAGCGAAAATTAAAGCGTTTTACATGCGCAAGAATGCATGTGATGAACATGACCGTGAGACGGTAGCAGGAATGGACCTGCTGGTACCAAAAATCGGGGAGCTTGTTGGCGGCAGCGTTCGCGAAGAACGGTTTGAGGTACTGGAGAAGAAGATGCGCCATCTTGGTTTGATTCCTGAGGAAAACCTTAATGAAGACCTCAATGAAGACGCGTTTGCTACTACAGGTGGTAATCTCGATTGGTACTTGGATTTGCGCCGCTTCGGTTCCGTACCTCATGCTGGTTGGGGCCTTGGCTTCGAGCGCCTTGTGCTTTTTGCCACAGGCATGGATAACATTCGTGACGTGATTCCATTGCCGCGCTTTCCAGGTCAGTGTAAACACTAGTGTAGAATCTTGTTTCAACAACCAAATCTAGAAGTTGACATAGTGATTAGCTCGTGTGAAAAGAGATTAGAGAAAAGTACATTTTTATTGGGTACACTTGATTGTTGACTTCGTTTTGCACATGTCTTGTTTGTATGTGGCATTTTGTAAATTGACAACTTTTGCTCATTGTCGTCCTCTGCGACTTTTTACCGCGTCACATTTTCCCCGGTTAAATCCCATGTGCAGCACCGTGTATCATCACTCTCATCACCATTAATTACCGATAGCTGGAAGTCAGTTCGGTATTCATTTTTCACCGTGAGCCGGCTAAAACGTTGCACGTGTTCTTGTCTTGCTACTGGGTCAGTCAGATAGGGCATCGTCGCTACAACGCTAGCTTTGCGTTTCCACAAGTCACTGTGGAAACAATTTGCTCAGAAGGTCACGATTCATCTCGAAAAGCTTGTTCTTATCTTCAAGTAGCACTGCGTTTTCATGCTGAAGCACCTTCCGTTCGCCTTGCAATTTGTTTACCTCGTGCTGTTTGGTGTCTAGCAGGTGCCTCAAAGCCTCGTTCTCGTCTGCAATAAACTTCAGCTGTGCTTGCAGGCGGTTCGTAAACAAACTGTTCCCGAGCAAATAGTTGTGCAAAGAGGCTAGACTCTCATTTTGGTCGTCGACTTGTTCATGTTTTGTACCCACATCCTTTCCTTCACCAGATACTGACCGTGACTTCTTGATGCGAAGAAGGATGTTGACTGGATCGCTAAACGAGTTTGAAAACGCAGGATTCTGGTCTGGAATCATTTCTGAGCGAGAGACTGGTGTCATTGGTATTGGCCGTGCCGAAAGCTCGGAGCGATTCTCCATTGTAGTTACAACCATGCCTTGAGGCCCGTTGGGTGCTGAAAACCCAGATAATTCCCTGTATTTGTATTGCTGTTGTAGGACTGAGTGTTGCTGCTGCTCCGGCCCGCCAGCCTGCTGTCGACGGATGAGGCGACTTCGCACGATATCTAGGGTAGGTAACGCCACAGAAGTGAGCGGGCTAATCGAAGTGTACTGAACATCGGAGCGGCTGCTGTTACACAGTGAAGCATTGCTGCTGTCAGCTGCCATTGACGACGACGATGACATAAACTTTGCAGCCCCAATCGATGGCATAGCTGATGTGTTCATGAGTGAGTTGGACTCTTCAAGTGGTGGTGCTAATGGGGCGTCTATTGTCGTGCTCGCTAGATAATCCTTCTTGTCCAGCTTTTTTGCTTTCTTCTTGCACTCAGTGGCCGCCACAGGCGATATAACGTTGTTCGGCTCCAGCACATACTGGCGGTTCAATCCATCCTGCGAGAAACCCAAAGATCCATGGGAGGAAGTGCCATGCGGCGTTGTCATGGCGCTAAGCAACATTCCATTAGTAGTGGGCTGGATTTGACCAGCAGGCATGTTTATCATCTGAATATGCATGCGTGTACTTTGCGTAGAAATACCTTCCGAGTTACTGTCATCTGATGAAAGCCTTTGCTTACCGCAAGGTGACGATTTCTTGGGCGTCAAACTCGCAACAGCCGCTGTAGGTGTAGTCAAAGTTGAGCTGCTAGTTCCACTGGCTGGCGTTCGTCGCGGAGCTTTCTTGCGTTTAATGAGTAGCAATAGCTTTGGCTGATTTTCTCGAAAAAAAGGGTGACTGAAAGTACAGATATCCGTTTTAGACTTGGTCCATTTGCGAAAGCCAAAATAATTGAGCTGCCTCTGGAAGCTATGAAAATTGGTGTGATTAAAGTACTTTGGCAAAATCTGTTCTGTGACGGTGACAGGGTCTAGTATCTGTAGTGCTAGGCCGTCCTCAGACCACCGAATGACACGGGAACTCTCCACCTCCAAAATTTCATACAGTAGCAGCAAAAACTTGGGTGCTTCAGGCTTGGCACGCTTCACGCCTTCCTTAATCATGGACAAGTTCCATCCGTTCTGCTGCGGTAGTAGGTGCATCGTCGTATTCGGCCTCTCCACTTGACGAGACTTGGCAACTCTACGTTTGTTAACCCCATGCATATCCGAGAAATCGTCCAAACACGAGTCCTGCTTCATGTCATCAATGCAGTGCGTGATAGGATCCATGGTAAGAATTGTCTCTGTCACCATCGACTACTTCCAGACTCGAAAGTCACTCGAATTGGCAAATAAACTAGTGCCGGTACTAGAAAAACAAGAAAAGCTTCGTGTGGTTGTACAATATGAATATAATTTTGCTTCCGTGAAAGCGCGGACCAATTGCTCGTAATCTTCCGTAAAGATCGAAAGAAAAATGGTGCAAACCCAACCGTTTAGAGTCTTAGACAATGCCAGCTACTATTTCGATCTTTCGTCTCTCTTAACCCTTAGGTTTACGTGCGTGCGTATGTAATAGTCGGAAAGCCTCAATTCAATCAGTTGCTGCTACGAGGTTGATTTGAATGCAAAATAAAGTGCGGGGGTTTCGGTGAATCTTAGCGAGCGGGGTTACCACTCACTCGCCTTAGAACCTTTGGGTTCGTTTTAATTTTGCTTCTCTATTTTTCACCTGAGGCATTGCGGATTCGATGAGAAGATTGCGATAAATTTAGCTGCACGTTATCGACCAATTGGGCGGGAAATGATACCAAACTATCGTAATTTATTGGCTAAAAGTCAAACTGGGGTGCGTTCTGCGACTGTTCCTCCTTTTCTTGGGAGACTTGGCGCCGAGTTCGAAAATCAGTGACACCTGATTGGTTTATAGCTCGTATCTCCAATTGAGCCTTCAGTCATGCAGGCTATAGTTGAATACAAACAAACACACTTCCAGATTCTACACTGTTAGAAATTAAACAAGGGCACAATGCATTTTCGATCTTAACGACTGCGTTTGATGTTTAATTGATTCATATTAAGCGTAAAGATAACTCCATTCGCTTTTTTTATTCCTAGAGCTTATGACATTTGCATTCACGTCGGTGCTGAGGTACATAACACAATAGCTTGCATAATCACTGTCAGCACGGGTGCGACGCCACGTGTCATCACTGGAATGGGGTTGTGAGGTGATGGTATAGGAATATAAGTACCAAGATGTGAACAAAAGTAATACCATAACCATAAAGCCTTGGTAAAAGTTTGCAATTGGTGGCGCATTCTTGCATGTTATCTAACTTTATATTATACAAGACAGCAAAGTATATATAATAATTACCTGACTGTGCTCGAAGCTACTCAAACTTGAGTGCAGTAAGGGTTTATGTGTATTTTACACACACACCTGCCACATCATTTTGGTGTTGCTGTACTTTGGGTACATTGGCCTTTTTGGTGTAACCGTACCTAGGTACAAAGGGTTAACCTTGTAGCAGATCATTATACTTACTTTATAGTATATGGATACATATGACTACATATTTGGGGCTACAGAGCTAGATAAATAGTGACTAGCAAGAAGATAAGCATTAATAAATCAGTCTTATATCCTGCTCTGTATAGCATTTGTTGCTAGAGCGTATTTCCTTTCAAGAAGGAAATGTTATCAGTTCATACTGCTCTCATAGAGACGGGGGGTTGTTTACAACCAGAAAACACAAGCTTATAGAGCTTGCCTTGAGAGGGTTGTAAGCCCTAAGACATAAAGTTCGAATAGCTTGTCTTCCTTTACACTTAGTGCATAAGTAGCTTTGCTAAACGGTAGTTCTGCTACATATGGTAGCACTTGCAGTCAATCCCGCAACTGGGTACGTGACTACTTCTCCGTGAGGATAGACATCGAATAAATGACCGCGGTTGACCTATCGCAGGCACAACAAGAAGAGTTGTGACAGCTGCTGCCTATTCCTGGCCCGAAATGCGTGGAATACCTCATTTCTCATGATGAAGAAGAGGTCAACCAGCGTATTTATACGATTAAAGAGCGTATTGTGCTATATATAAGGCACAAATGACTTCATCTGCCCCGTCGTCTATGGTCACTATGGTGCCGGAAGTGGTCCGCAGACTAAAAATACTTAGATAGAAGTCGATAATCGTGACGGTAAAGAATGTGATAACCCTATGTTGTGTATGTCATAGGTTGAGTCGGTCATGTACATTGAACCATACCGTGTTGGCTTTGCCATGGGTAATCTGATTGGCTTAGTCAAGCAATGGGCATTCGCATGCGGTGGATCACTACAAGATGCTTTTCCAACATGAGTAGATCTGAAATCTTAGATGACACGGCAGCATGCACCGCCAAAACAAGCGCACCAAGATCGGTCTTGATTCCTGGCGTGTCGCCAAGATAAGCGTGAGCTTGCGACATTTGTGCAAGAGTTGAGAACTCTTATTGCCACCATCGTCATTTACCCTCTGCCTGAGAAATTGACTATCAAGGTCTCTATGGGAGGACTCGGAGCTAGCATTTTCAGAACAAAGTATTTCGAGTAAACACGTCCTCATTCGAGGAAGCTGTTGGAGTGGCATGGAATACCGAAACAACCTTGATGCCGCTAGGCTTTTTATTCATAGCTAGGTCATTTTCATGGACTGTAGCCAGAGGGAAGATGACGAAGCAGAGCTTCAAGATGCAGAGTAGACAAAGGGTGCGCAAATGTTGTTATATCTGCATGAGCATAGGCTATTTGATGGCACAATGTTCGGGGCGAAAGGCATAGTTGTCCTCAAAAGGCCGCCTTTCCGCGGGCAAAACCTCTGGTTTGCCGCAGGAATACGGCGGAACCGGCCCCTTTTACTAGGAAAAACTGAGTTCTGTTGAGCTTCTAGGAGGTAGCAGTAATAAATACGGCTCATTTTCAAAGATACCTGAGCTCTCTAAATCGTAACAGGAACGCAAGCCAGGCTTTCTGGTCGTCGGAGGGACGGCTAAAGGATTTGATAAGCAATGGATCATTTTGATCGATTCAGGGGCATCGGAAATTATGCTCGGCGCGCTACCGTTGAATATAGATAGCAATATGCTAAAGCGCTGAGAGCGCGTAAGAGTGACACAGCCACGGCTCTTTTAGCAACGGGTATGCGTCTTACGGTACCCGAATTCCCTATGGACTCAAACTCAAAGCACTTGGACTTTAACATAATGGGACACTCTTTGGTCTTACACCTGGATGCGAGGTATAAACTCGTCCTAGGCATGGCTTAAACGCCATGAACCATGGATTGGTCGGAGGTCAAGGAACTTAGGGCGCAACTTGCACTGCTTCTAGTGGGGCTCTGAGAAGTTATGAATTCACCTCTGAGAGGAAGCAAAAGCAATTTTGGCGCAAACATTGGACCACATCGGTCAATATGCTTGATGCCAGTTTATCGACTTTGTAGAAACTTCAATTGTATCGGACAGTTGTCTTGGGCAAAGCCTACGAGTTTTCAGCTATTACGCGTCAGTCCACCTTTTTGTTTTCTCGGCTTATCCTTCACCTCAAAGACATACTTCGCGAGAAAGGATAGCCAACGTGTCATTCTCTGCGAGAGATGAGACGACTGAGTCGTCGTACGCGATGAGGTTTTGTTGATACAAATCACAAACGGCTTCGAGCCCAACAGGTGTACCTAACTCAACGAGGGTATAGTTCATGGCAAGTAGCTCCTTATCATAAACTAGATGGTTCTTTTTTGCAGCTTTTTTCAGGCGAGATTCAAACGCGATGACGCGATCCCGACCCTGGGCATCGCTCAGCCCATCCTCTTCCACGCCATTGAACGGGTCTGGAGGTCCTTTGGGAGGCTTGTTGGCCACAAAACCTGACCCATCGCCGTCGTCTCCTCCTTCCACGCCACTTGCTCTATTAGCTTCTGCGCCGAGTAGGACGGCAGACGACATGGACGTGTCGATGTACGTTCTGCCACCTTATCACGCCACGCCCCTCGATGCTCTGCATCCAGACGTGATGATAAAGCCCGCCTTTCCACCTGCTCCCGCCGCATCGCCTTCTCGTTCAGCAGTCCAAAACCGACGATGGCGGATGTGCTGTACCAAGAGAAACACCTCCGTCGCGATGTTGCCTCCATTGATGTGGCGCGCCGCCGTGTGGAATCTCCGAAGCTCCTCGCTCTTGACATCAAGTGGATCGAACGACATACGCTGCTGGTGGCGACTTCTCGTCATTTCGTCACGCATGAATCAAGCGCGGCCGTATAATCTACCTCGAGCGAGGTATGACATTATGATCGACCCTGGACGAACGCTCGCAAGGACCCCGCTCCAAAAAAATAACCTCGCTTTCTGGCAAGACTCATGGCAACGCTTCTTTGAAAGCCCTATTTGGACGATTCGAGATCGGTGGTCACCAAGCTCTCCCGCGTCAAGGTAAATTCGCAGGAGGCTTTTCTGCAACTTGAACGCACGAAGGTAAACATTATTGGTGGTAATTACTATTTTAAGGAGTTGACTTGACATCCTCGGTGGCAAATACTTCCTTGAGGCTTGATCCTGTCCTGCTCGGATGCAAGCCAGTGTATGACACCTTGCGTGAAGTGAAAAAAACTCGCGCCTGGCATCACGTCTGCAACTTGGCGCGTATACACTTCATGTCCAACTTTTGTCCCACTGCTCTGATGGTGAGTGGCAGTGTCTGTGATTGAGTGTTGTTCGAGAACAAGCTACACCCTGCTCATGGCAAAAATGCTCCGTTTGCGTCGGAGCGACTACCGTTCGGCCATCGCTCGCTTCATGGCATCGACTTGGGAAAGTCTGACAGTTTCTTTCCGCTATCAGCATCGATTCCTGCATCTGCTCAACAGCATCAGAAGATCGCATCGCGGACGTAGGCGCAAGCAGTGGCTGCACCTACGACTGCACCTGTGCAGCCGCCCACGATGCTTCGTGTAACTTTGCTTCAAAAGGTGACCAAGGACGCAAAGAAACGGGAAGGCCGTCTCCAACACGTGGCTCTGTATGAAAAACCATCCATTGCCGCCCGCCTCGCAGTGATGCCGAATTTCACTACGAGTGCATTGTCGATCTCGACTTTCAAAGGCCTCAATGGCGCTGTCACTTTTCCTGAGTGTCCAAGTATTAGTCCGTGTTGTTTCTAACTAATGGTGCTGATGATGGATACGTCGCCCCGCCAAACAAGAAGAAACGCGGACGCAACGGGATTGACTTCTCCAACATGCTGGTCAAGCACTACGCGCGACCGCTGGACTGCGTTGCCATCGCCAACTACTTCCAATCACTCCAGGCGATGGAAGTCAAGCTCGAATAAAAAAAATCGACTTTGGACAAGAATTTTGGCGTGCGCCATCAGTCATGTCTGTGGATTTGCAGCGTCCAGACGAGTTGACGGCCTCTACCGAGCCCTCGTTCTTCGTAGAGAAGCATCACACAAAAATCAAGCGGGCGGCCAAAGCGTTATCACTCCTCAAAGAGGCTGAAACGATGCTTACTGATGAAACACGGCTCTACCAAACATCCTCCCTGCCTGTCTTGTGGATGCAGACACGCAGGTTGGTGGTGTGCGCAAGCTCCTTGAGAATGTTACGAACCCTGACCAAATCACTAAGAAGGCAGCTGCTTCGCCTTTCGCCTTCAACAGTGCTATGCCCTTGACGATGGCAAAGAATGGTCCGGCGGTAGCTGAAGTTGCGCAGCTGCATGTCATCAACCGCGTGTTGTGCGTGACGCAGCCTACTTGGACACAGAGTTCAGCCCCAAGTGGAAAAACTGGTGAGGGCGTCGGTCTCCTCCAAGCGCGGTGACATCTTCAAGCTGTGCGCCAAGTGGTGGACGTTGTCGGATGCAGTAAAGGAACTGTCCCGCGCATCAAAGGCATTAGGCATGTTTGAGCTCATTCTCGTATCCATCTCGCCTACTTTATTTTCGAACGATCACTGGATCGGGTATCTCACTGGTCAGCCGGTGCCGTGGATACCGGTGCATCACATGCTACTGCTCCATCCGAACATCATGCTTCGTCTCTTGCGGTCCGAGCTCTGTGCGCATTGCATGCGGCAATGGGAGGAGGTTCAGTGGCAGGGTCCTCTTTTAGACAACCTGGAAAAATTTTGGGCAGCTGAAGAGTTTATCCGGATGACGCTTCCGTGTTGTAGCTCCAAGTCACTGCTGAAGGCGTTGTGTTGATAGCAGGCGATTGTACCGTTGCTAAGAGATCCTTACCACCATCGACTTGGAGTAACATCAGTGTTCACAGTGAACATGAATGAAATCAAGAAGAAAGGGCATCTGTTTGTTGACAGCATGCTATCGAAACACTCTGTGTCCTGTGTACAAGAAACTAATCTTGGCGGCAACACACACCTCGCAAATTTTAGGTTCCATCTTGAATCGAGCTTTCAGCACAAGGTCTTCGTTAACGATCCGAACTCGCTGCTGTATCGACCCACGCAAGGCCGGAGCAATAGTGTGCTCACAAATCTTTGCACCGACTTCCTGGCTTCGCATTCGGCTCTCGACCTTCCTACTCTGGCCGTCCTCGGTCGCTACCTTGACGTGAGGGCGATCATTAAAAGGGTTCCCATATACATCTTCAACGTGTATGCGCCTATGACCGTCAAGAAAAGCAGCACTTCCTTTCGCGATTGGCGGCCGCGGACTTCAATGATCACGCGACGCGCTTTTTACTAGGTGATCTCAACACACGTGGTGCTGGATCAGCTTCGCACGTCTTCAAACCCAAGCAAAGTCTTGGAGGCGCGGAAGATGAGCATCAAAAGGCAGCTGCAACATGTCCAACAAAGCTTCGCACACAAGACTATCAAGCTGTTGACGACGCTCGAGTTGCTCTGGATCAAGCTGCCGATCAGTACCGTGTGTCACGTCATGACGACTATCGTGACCTTTACGATGAGGCCTTGTGTCACTACAAGGACACGGTCGCCCGGATCAGCCAGTACAATCAAGACACTGCGTTTGACTTTAGTGATACCAACACTGGACAGTCGACCAAGCACTTCTTTCGTCCGCTTGATGCGAGTTGAGACGTGTATCAACCGAGGCAGTTGTTACAACTAGTGGTATTATATTGTTAAACCTTCATGAAATATGTCGGCGCTTCCTGGAGAACTGGGGATCTGAGATGGGAGATTCCGGTAGGAAGAACTGATTCACCTGATGACGGCATGCAACGCAAGCTCCTTGACTCGATCGTCCGCTTCGTATCGGACGTCGATCGTGCGATCTTGAGCTCTCCGATAACAGCATCAAACATGGCAAGTGGGGTCCACCACATGAACGCGTCGTCAGCGCCTGGAATGAATGGGCTGACTGCTGGCTTCTATCAGGTGGCTCCGATGGTGCTTAAGCATCGTCTTTACCGACCGTCTCCACCGTGGCGTGCTGCATCCCTCACAGCGGAAGTCAGAAGTTATGCTGCTGCATTATAAGGTCGCGCACCGATCCGGGGTAACTACCGACCGATCGCACTTGTACAAGTTGATGTGAAGGTGTATTCCAAGGCACTTACCGATCGGTTTTAGAGCGTCGTACCCGACTTGATCCATCCCGATCGGAAGGGTATGTCAAAGGTCAATCGATCTACCATCATCTCCGGTTTTTCGCGGATCTAGATCAAGACTCGTTAACGAGTTGAAACGACAAAGCCGATGCGCTCTTGTCGAACTTCCAGAAGGCGTTTGGTCGCGTTAATTGGTAATACATGTTTTGGCTGCTCGAGCGAATGGGTTTCGATGCGGCGTTTTTCCAATGGATCCAGCTGCTGTACGTCGACCCACAAGCGCATCTTCTCATCAACCGAAACATTCAACCTGCGCTACATTCGACTTGAGGAGTGAAGCAGGGAGACCCGCTGTCTGCGCTGCTTTTCTTTTTGACGATCAAGTCGCTGGGCAACTTGTTGCGCTCGCATGATGAGTATGGCGTGTGCTCGACTGCGAATCACACCGCTACGAAAATCTTCCTTGCCGATGACTCGACTTTGCTCGGTGGCTCAATACCAAACCTCCCCAGGCTCAGCTAGAAATTGCGGAGGGATACTACACAGGCTCTGCCGCGAAGCTGCATCTGTCAAAGTTGACGTGCAGGCACTAAATAGGACCTAACCCGCCCCATTAAGCTACCTTAACCACTCGGCCAGCTGTCATTTTAATCATTTCACACTAAAACATAATACCCCCTATTCACGCACCCATCGCAAAAGACCTAAGTGAAGCGGTCAGTTCAAGTTTTCTCCTTCACGGCCACTGCCGTTGCTGCTGCTGATTCTTATATGGCGAATCCAGTGCCCAAAAAAAGCCCCTCGCCAACGTTGAGTTAAAATTGTGGCGCCAACCAGCAGTTTACAATCAGCTCAGCTGATTCTGCTCCCACCACCACCGTCAACTCAACCAGTTCCGGGTTTTTAATTCGCGTTGGCCTCGTAAGTAGTGGAATCTCAAAGACGAATGTTGTCGTGCTGATAAGGACTGTACTAACATGCTGCTGAAGTCTTGTCCAAAGTTTCACGTCGACGTGTCTACAAGCAACTACTTTAATGTGCTCCGCAATGTTGAGATCGATTTTGACTGCGATCTTGCGATGCTTGATGAATCCACTCTCTCGCAGTCTCGATTCTGCCACGCAAAATGCAGCCACCACGCGACCTGGTCTTCTGCAATGAAGCAAGTTACTGTCCAAACGAGCACCACACTGAGGTGTTGAAGAACAAAGAGCCAATTACAATCCTTGATATCATCAACAAGGGGCGACTGCTAAGAAGACGGCTGATCTGCAACTTCTTCCAAATTTTTTGGCCGCCGCCGACGCCATGGTGGCAGACATTTAAGAGTCGCTTCGTAAGTCGTATTACTCTGACTCGCTGACATCCATAAGCTCTGTATAGGTCCATTTTGGAGATCAACACGGCACTATTGCGTGAGATACGCAAGATCAGTCCTAACCCAACGATTTGGCCCGGATTGACATGAGATAATCGCATCTTTATTGCGACCGATCACACCATTACCACCACCTTTGCTCGGAAATGAGCCAAGCACGAAGTTGTGTTCAGTTGCGTTGCTGGGCGGTATAACATCCTGACGTATGTGTGCGCGACCAGAGCACTGTCTCTCTTTGAGATGATGCTGTTGTGCACATCACACAGATCGTTTAAAAGAACTACTGGCTTCAGCGTTGACGGGGTGGCCCGTATCCTGAATACTAGCTCACAATCGGCATTTGCTTCACGCCAACATATAAATGGCTCTACTCCGCTTTGCGATCGTCGCCCACTGCTTCACAATCTTGAAAAATCCCAGTGACAAGTAGATCTGCTCGATGTTCTTGAGTACCTTCGAGACTGCGGCTCTTTCTTCCTTGAAAATACTGAGGTGTGTATCATATCTAGCGCAGGAGGGATTTTTTGCTTATGCCGAACGCTTATACAGCTGTGTAAACTATAGAGATACTATGTAAGCGATTTTGGCTGCTTATCATCTCGCGTACCTATTGTAACCTTCTGGACACCCATTTGCGTGCCTTCACACACAAACACCCTACAGAACCTGAACATGTTTGCGTCATGTACGTTGCCATAGTTGCCAGTCAGCATACCATTCGCTATGTCTGTCTTGTGCAATGGTGCGTTCATATGTGGACCTTGCACTGACATATAAAGCGCTTCATGATCTTATAACAGTGCTGCCATTTCTTAAGCTTTGGTAGCTTCCTCGTGTCTGTCATGCGCAGTAGGAGCACAATATTTCCGCCGATGGACTCCGTCCACACCGCTCTGTTAAAAGATCAAGTAGCCATATACTTATATCAATGCAATTCAAACAGTCCTTGATTTGATGAAGAGTGCCATGGGCATATGCACTGCTGTAATGGAATATGCACTGATGTAATGGAGTAGCAAGATCACGTCATCGTAAGGTGCGCAATATGCTATGACAGCGGTAATATACGCTGCAAATGGCTTAGTCAAAGTAGCAATCAAGTAACAAGCGTGAAGTAGGTATTAATTAACCTAGCAAGCACTATGTTTGGGGAAGAGTGTATTCATGAGATTATAGCGTGTTGGTGACATACAAGAGGCACGAATTGTTCTGAACGTACCAACGTTGTTGGTTTGTTGATGCTGTGCTGTTAGATAAGCCCTATTCTCGGAACGTTGCGTGTTGATAGGGCTGTGAATGGGACACATGGAATGAGGTAGTGTCGTATTGTGTGAGTGTGGAAGTATGTGCGAGTTTGTAACGTCTTTCAATACAAAATGGTGTTTTTGAGAGGATTTACGGGTTGAGGTGCGTGAGTAAGGGGTAGTAATGTTAGTTTGGTGTATTAGTGTGAAATGATGAAGATGACAGCTTGGCCGAGTGGTTAAGGCGTTAGCCTGCTAAGTTAATGGGGCAACCCGCGTGAGTTCGAATCTCACAGCTGTCGTTTTCTGATTTACCTTGCATATTTCCGCTTGCTGCTCAATGCTTGTGGTCTCTTCAATGCGCTCTAATAATTTCGTGGTAGGGTCAGCAGTGCGTTGAAGGGAAGATCTGTGACTGAATCACTGGCTTTCTCAATCTTCTGCTTTTGGTCCGATTGTGATAGAACTGGTTCTGGATGTGAGGTCCAAGCTGAACAGCTATAGGAGCGTTAGAAATGATGCTAGCAGGAACCACTTCGGTGGTCATCCGTAAAAATTGGAACGATACAGAGAAGATTAGCATGGCCCCTGCGCAAGGATGACACGCATAAATCGAGAAGTATCGCACTTTTTCATGTATGGCTGTGCTCATCAACCTATACTTACAGCAGCCTGGTTGGCACACGGCATCGCGCACTTTTCAGGTGTTCTCCATGGGCAAAATCGTAAAGAGAAGGTACTCGAAAACCAAAGAATGAGGGAAGAGGGGATCGAACCCCCGACCGCTGGGTCTGGAATCCAGCGCTCTACCACTGAGCTATTCCCCCCAACAACATTTATATCAGATACACGCACAACACGAGCCATGTCAAAGCATATATCTCTCATACTCTCATACTCATACAAGCAGCAACAAACCACCACAAAATAATCACACCAAACACATTTATGCGCATATTCTTCAACACGTCCGTGGGACCTCGGCGCACGGCAACCACATAACAAGGGTTTTTCTGTCAATGTAAAGTAGATCTTGCCGCACAATTGAAGTCCAGTGAGTCCGAGAAGCCATAGATTGGTACATGTTTGCGGTGTAAAGAATGAGAAAATTTGCAAAGATTTGTACAGACTTTTACAGATCGACATATAAAGATATTAAAAGCTGCAGAGCATATGTGTGTGTGCAAATGTGATAACAGTGGTGTATATCTTATGCTTGCTACGTTGAACTGCTTGTGTGTGATATGATTACTATGTTTGAATTGTGAGCGTAGCCCCTATAGCTCAGTGGTAGAGCACTCGCTTCGTAAGCGAAAGGTCGGTGGTTCGATCCCGCCTGGGGGCTCATCTTTTGCCTCTGTACCTTTTTTACTCGCTCTGTCACTTTCGTCCTATTTTTTGGTGGAGAATGCATTAGTGCTACATGGTACCTTGTCCCATGAATGTCCTTGCACCGCGCTAACTATCAAATCTAAGCTATGAACACATCCTAAAAGGTGCTGCACACCTTGCAGTGTGTGTTTTCACCCTATTCTAACCTTCTGGACACCCATTTGCGTGCCTTCACACACAAACACCCTACAGAACCTGAACATGTTTGCGTCATGTACGTTGCCATAGTTGCCAGTCAGCATACCATTCGCTATGTCTGTCTTGTGCAATGGTGCGTTCATATGTGGACCTTGCACTGACATATAAAGCGCTTCATGATCTTATAACAGTGCTGCCATTTCTTAAGCTTTGGTAGCTTCCTCGTGTCTGTCATGCGCAGTAGGAGCACAATATTTCCGCCGATGGACTCCGTCCACACCGCTCTGTTAAAAGATCAAGTAGCCATATACTTATATCAATGCAATTCAAACAGTCCTTGATTTGATGAAGAGTGCCATGGGCATATGCACTGCTGTAATGGAATATGCACTGATGTAATGGAGTAGCAAGATCACGTCATCGTAAGGTGCGCAATATGCTATGACAGCGGTAATATACGCTGCAAATGGCTTAGTCAAAGTAGCAATCAAGTAACAAGCGTGAAGTAGGTATTAATTAACCTAGCAAGCACTATGTTTGGGGAAGAGTGTATTCATGAGATTAGAGCGTGTTGGTGGCATACAAGAGGCACGACTTGTTCTGAACGTACCAACGTTGTTGGTTTGTTGATGCTGTGCTGTTAGATAAGCCCTATTCTCGGAACGTTGCGTGTTGATAGGGCTGTGAATGGGACACATGGAATGAGGTAGTGTCGTATTGTGTGAGTGTGGAAGTATGTGCGAGTTTGTAACGTCTTTCAATACAAAATGGTGTTTTTGAGAGGATTTACGGGTTGAGGTGCGTGAGTAAGGGGTAGTAATGTTAGTTTGGTGTATTAGTGTGAAATGATGAAGATGACAGCTTGGCCGAGTGGTTAAGGCGTTAGCCTGCTAAGTTAATGGGGCAACCCGCGTGAGTTCGAATCTCACAGCTGTCGTTTTCTGATTTACCTTGCATATTTCCGCTTGCTGCTCAATGCTTGTGGTCTCTTCAATGCGCTCTAATAATTTCGTGGTAGGGTCAGCAGTGCGTTGAAGGGAAGATCTGTGACTGAATCACTGGCTTTCTCATCTTCTGCTTTTGGTCCGATTGTGATAGAACTGGTTCTGGATGTGAGGTCCAAGCTGAACAGCTATAGGAGCGTTAGAAATGATGCTAGCAGGAACCACTTCGGTGGTCATCCGTAAAAATTGGAACGATACAGAGAAGATTAGCATGGCCCCTGCGCAAGGATGACACGCATAAATCGAGAAGTATCGCACTTTTTCATGTATGGCTGTGCTCATCAACCTATACTTACAGCAGCCTGGTTGGCACACGGCATCGCGCACTTTTCAGGTGTTCTCCATGGGCAAAATCGTAAAGAGAAGGTACTCGAAAACCAAAGAATGAGGGAAGAGGGGATCGAACCCCCGACCGCTGGGTCTGGAATCCAGCGCTCTACCACTGAGCTATTCCCCCAACAACATTTATATCAGATACACGCACAACACGAGCCATGTCAAAGCATATATCTCCATACTCTCATACTCATACAAGCAGCAACAAACCACCACAAAATAATCACACCAAACACATTTATGCGCATATTCTTCAACACGTCCGTGGGACCTCGGCGCACGGCAACCACATAACAAGGGTTTTTCTGTCAATGTAAAGTAGATCTTGCCGCACAATTGAAGTCCAGTGAGTCCGAGAAGCCATAGATTGGTACATGTTTGCGGTGTAAAGAATGAGAAAATTTGCAAAGATTTGTACAGACTTTTACAGATCGACATATAAAGATATTAAAAGCTGCAGAGCATATGTGTGTGTGCAAATGTGATAACAGTGGTGTATATCTTATGCTTGCTACGTTGAACTGCTTGTGTGTGATATGATTACTATGTTTGATTTGTGAGCGTAGCCCCTATAGCTCAGTGGTAGAGCACTCGCTTCGTAAGCGAAAGGTCGGTGGTTCGATCCCGCCTGGGGGCTCATCTTTTGCCTCTGTACCTTTTTTTACTCGCTCTGTCACTTTCGTCCTTACTTTTTGGTGGAGAATGCATTA